GTTTTTTAATCCAGTCTGTTAGCCTGTGTCTTTTGATTGGGGCATTTAGCCCATTTACATTCAGGGTAACTATTGAAAGATAGGAATTTAGTGCCATTGTATTGCCTGTAAGGTGACTGTTACCATATATTGTCTGTGTTCCTTTCTGGTCTATGTTGCTTTTAGGCTCTCTCTTTGCTTAGAGGACCCCTTTCAAGATTTCCTGTAGGGCTGGTTTTGTGTTTGCAAATTCCTTTAGTTTTTGTTTGTCCTGGAAGCTTTTTATCTCTCCTTCAATTTTCAATGACAGCCTAGCTGGATAGAGTATTCTTGGCTGCATATTTTTCTCATTTAGTGCTCTGAATATATCCTGCCAGTCCTTTCTGGCCTGCCAGGTCTCTGTGGATAGGTCTGTTGCCAATCTAATGTTTCTACCCTTGTAGGTTACATATCTCTTCTCCCGAGCTGCTTTCAGGATTTTCTCTTTGTCTATGAGACTCGTAAGTTTTACTATTAGATGTCGGGGAGTTGACCTATTTTTACTGATTTTGAGAGGGGTTCTCTGTGCTTCCTGGATTTTCATGCCTGTTTCTTTCCCCAAATTAGGGAAGTTCTCTGCTATAATTTGCTCCATTATACCTTCTGGCCCTCTCTCTCTCTCTTCTTCTTCTGGGATCCCAATTATTCTAATGTTGTTTCGTCTTATGGTATCGCTTATCTCTCAAATTCTGCCCTCGTGATCCAGTAGTTGTTTATCTCTCTTTTTCTCAGCTTCTTTATTTTCCATCATTTCATCTTCTATATTACTGATTCTCTCTTCTGCCTCATTTATTCTAGCACTTAGCGCCCCCATTTTTGATTGCACCTCATTAATAGCCTTTTTGATTTCTACTTGGTTGGATTTTAGCTCTTTTACTTCTCCAGAAAGGGTTTCTCTAATAACTTCCATATTTTTTTCAAGCCCAGCTAGTATCTTTAAAGTGATGATTCTGAACTCTAGATCTGACATCGTACTAATGTCCGTATTGAGTAGGTCCCTGGCAGTCGGTACTACCTCTTGTTCTTTTTGTTGAGGTGATTTTTTCCGTCTCGTCATTTTGTGCAGAGGAGAATAGATTAATGAGAGAACAAAATGCTAGCAGAGTAACCACGTCCCTAGAAAATATACTTTAAACAAATCAGAAAAGACCTTCCAGAAAGTGGTCGCTTTTCTGATGAGAGAGTTGTTGCTCTTCTTTTCTTCGATCTCCTGTTGAGTTTGTAGGTGTTCAGAATGGTTTGATCCCTATCCAGCTGAATTCCTGAGAGGAGACGAAATCCAGGTCTCCTACTCCTCCGCCATCTTGCTCCCGCTTGCTTGCTTTTTAAAAATAGAATTACTTTTGGGCGCCTTTGGTAAGAAGTTTATGGACTGGGAGGAATTTGTGGCCCTTTGAAATGTAGAACTTAACTCTGGCAGATCTTACCAGCAATCATGCTTTCTGTAGTATATCATGTTACATCAGATTGTGGCAACAAGAGTGTATTTTCCATTGCTACTACGTATTTTGATTTGAATAAATGGGAGTTTTAGATATCTTCTTGATTACTAAGATTTTAATAAATTGCAGAAAACGTAAAACAAACTTTGCTCATATATTTGCATATTTAGCAGACAGTGCACTTGATCTTAGCCAAAAGGCTGAGAAACAATAGCACACAGTGCAAATGTAAATTTTAACAAATTCCTTTCAGTCCATAAACTTCTTATCAAAGAAAATGAAAAAATCTTACCTGCTAAATATCATATATTCCTTCTATACAGTACTGCTAAAACAGGATATCATTTGCTTACCTGTGATATTGAGGTTTTTTTTTTTTTTTTTTTTTTTTTTAAAGAGTTTATTTATTTATTCATGAGAGACAGAGAGAGAGAGGCAGAGGGAGAAGCAGGCTCCCAAGGAGCAGGGAGCCCGATGTGGGACTCGATCCCAGGACCCCGGGATCATGACCTGAGCCGAAGGCAGACGCTTAACCATCTGAGCCACCCAGGCGCCCAGATATTGAGGTTTTCATAATGAAGTTTTTTGGTCAATTTTTAGTTTCTTCAAAACATTAGAAACACTTAATAAGATTTTTGACATTATAAAAATGTCAGAAAATAACTTCTTTAGACATTTGCTTCCACATGGCTCTCATTGTTGCCAGCCATAGAAAAGATGCTAAAATATTGACATGCAGTTAAATCATATTTTCAAAGAATGTGATAAGAATAGTGACATTAAAAATAAATATGGACAAGAATTGCAGTAAACAAATTTATTTGCTTTTCTCCAGAACTATTAAATGATCTTTGAAGAGGCTAAAAGGAACCTTGAAAAGGATAGATTGACCTGAGTTGTATATGTGTAGGCTATAAAAAAAAAACCTCAGTCAAAAAAATGACTAATTTTTTTTGAAATGAGACTGTTGAGAACTCAAAAAAATATCATAAGAAGGGGATAGTTAGCTTAACAGGATTTTCTTAGTTTCTTTACTAAAACTATAATTTATTTGGAATCTACCTTCACTCTCACAAGTTTAAATGACCTGTTTTTAAAACTATTTTCCTTGAGAAAGAGAGGTATAACTTTTAGTGACATCCATTATGTTTTGAAGTGTTTAAAATGGGCATTTTAGACACAAATAGTCTATATGTAAATTCTTAGATGCAGTTTTTAGTAAGTAAAATGTCATTATTCTGTGCCTAAATGGTTTTACTGAAAAGATACTTAACTTGATGTCATCACATTGGACTGATAAGGGAAGTAAGTGTGATGTAGGCTTAAGAACAGAGCTGAAAGTCTGAGTGAATTTTGTATTTGATTGTATTCATTTATACCACTTGATTTAAAACAAAACAAAGCAAAAGATGATGTCCTAAAGTCTGCAGGCAGATCAGAGAAGTATTGTTAAAAAAGGAAACACAAAAAGGTAAAAATATCCTATGGGATCATGGAATAAAAAAAGTAGTTTTTTAAATTAAATATAGATAATACCTGTTTAGTCTTATTGTAGGTATATAACTTTTTTAGAAGTCTTATATTTATGCATTTTAACAATACACAATAATATAGCCTACAATATTTAAATATCTAATAAAGAGCTTAAAAAGTTAAATTGTGTATTGGAGGATAAAACCTAAATAGTTACATTTTTCTCTAACATTATTTGTTTAATTAGTCTTATTAATTACTAATTGCTATTAACTAGTCCTCTTGTTTTAAATAACCACATTTGTGTGGAAAAGTACAGAATACAGATTAATAGATAATTTTGGAAAAACACTTATTTTTGTATTTTTATGTTAAAGTGGTAAAAAATGTACATAAATATTTTTTCTGTTTTTACTTTTTTTGAGTGGGGAGATCTGGTTGGTTGTGTCCCATGATAACTCTAAAAGTTTTGGTCACGTTATACCAAGGATGAGTCCTAATCCAGTTCTGTGTATTTGAGATTCTAGGAAAAAGTAAACTAAATAAAGGTAAAATGTTATGATTTTCAGATTTGTACCTTATTTCCTAGAAACTGAGTTTCATGGGCTTAAAGGACAACTGACAGGGCAAAATAACTAAAATCAGTCCCTCTCTAAAATTTTTGTCACACACTTGAAGTTGTTTAGTTCTTTTTTTGTTTCAGGGGAAAAGACACACACACGCCACCACAGCACATCCTCCTCTACACACACAAACAACAAATAAGCACTCTTCCCTTCCTCCTGCAAAAAACCCCAACCAGCACACAACGTACTTGAGCTTACTAACTAGAATGTAGAGTGAACCAGGGAGCATTAGACATTGTATAGGCTTTTTCCTACATATTTATACCCTGCTGTTTATATACTCTTTAAACCTTTTCTCCTTTTCTGTATTTATCCCATCTTTTCCTTGGATATCCTATTGGGTAGCATAGAGAAATTATTTAAACACTGCATTCTTGTGCAAGTTTCTTTAGAAGTTCCCATCCTTATCACTCATTTATTCTCTAGAGCCTTCAGAGCTAAAAATTCAAAAGTTGGCATGCCAAAGATGACCATATTTCTAGCTTTTCAGCATTTTTTTATTTCAATAAAGAAACTTTTCACATTGAACATCAGATATTATATTTCTGTGGCATATCTGTCATATTATGCACTTTACAATGGAAATTGTTGGAAAAATTAACTTTTTATATTTTTTGTTCCCCCATATCACACTGGAACTTCACCACAGCATTATAAAGCCAAATTTAGAAAAAGGGTAGTCTCTTAAAGACTATTTAAAAAGATTGTTTCTAGTGTTAAATAAGTAACAAATGGCTTATTCTTTGGCAGTCATATTAAATACACATCCAGGACTACTGGATGTTCAGCACTAACTCCTCATGATAGTGTTTCCTATGTGCCAGACACTGTGCTTGTATGCCTTAGATAAATCTCATTTATTTATTTATTTATTTATTTATTTAAGATTTTACTTATTTATTTGAGGGAGAGAGAGGGAGAGAGAGCATGAGCAGGGGGAGGGGCAGAGAGAGGGATAAGCTGACTCCCTGATGAGCAAGGAGAGGACGTGGGGCTCACTCCCAGGATCCCGGGATCATGACCTGAGCCGAAGGCAGACACTTAACGTACTGAGTCACCCAGGTGCCCCAGATAAATCTCTTTTAATATGGTAAAATACTAATACAGTTACATAATAACCATAGGTGGTATTATCTCCATTTTGCAGATTGAGGAAATGAAACCTATTGAGAGGTAGCTAACTCAGCAAATGTCAAGATTTAAATCCATGTTTGTCTCCCAGTGTACTTTATACTACATGATGACAAGAAGGTTTGGTTCTTATTTCAGCCTTCTTAAACGTCAAGGTGTTGTTTATAAACCAAGGGTTTTTTTTTTTTTTTTTTTTTTTTTACCAATTACTTTCGATAATATGGTTCCATTATATAATTCTTCTACTATAAAGAATTAACTTGAATTAGAAACTCAAAAGGTCATTACTACTATTATTTTTCTCTTTTAGGCATCTCCAAGAGTTACTGTTGATGATTATTTGGTAGCAAAATTAGCAGATACTTTGAATCATGAAGATCCAACCCCTGAAATCTTTGATGACATTCAGAGGAAGGTATTATATATAACATTTATCATTATATGTTTCTTATGAAAAAAATGTATGTTTCTATATGCATGTAATTCATTTTTTAAAAGATTATTGAAACAAAAGTATAGTGGTAACTAAAAAGGTGAGTTAGCTAACGCTTCTCATTTACAAAAAAGGTAGGCCAGTTTTTTGTTTATTTAAATGACAAGTGAGGAAAATCCTTATGCTGCGTTATTGAAATTTGACTAAAGGGCCAGATACATAGTCTTAGAATTTCATGAGTTGATAATGATGTATAAATGACCTGACATAAATTTCTTTTACTGTGTTCATGGAGCCTTTATGTGGACTTGTTTCTTAGAGAACACTACTTCCTGGAACATTATATATAACCTGTCATGTGACTTGTGTTGCAGTGGGACCATTTTCAATACATTGAGGTACTAGAGGGACTGTTAGTTGTGAAATTAGTTGAGAAATCATTAGTTGTGGTGTAGGCTTATTGCTGGCATCTTACAAGTATGGAATGTGTGATTCATTATAGCAATACCTCTTTCTAGCTTTTGGTGAAATCTTATTAGTGAAAATTAGTACATTATCTGTATTAATGATGGAATATCTTGATTTATTTCAACAAGGTTTATGAATTGATGCTACGAGATGAAAGATTTTATCCTTCCTTCAGACAGAATGCACTTTATGTGCGCATGTTAGCTGAGTTGGATATGTTAAAAGATCCTAGTTTCAGAGGATCAGATGATGGTGATGGAGGTAAGGTGGCACATATGCATGGTGTGTGCATGTGTGCGTGTGTGTGTGTGTATACATAAATATTTCTATATACTGTTGACCAAAAGATGATGTTTCAAGTAAGATAAAAAAATGCCTTGAAGCCCAGTGTGACTTGTGAAATATTTAAAATTCTATAAATGAATGACAAAGTTTAGTTAGTACTAAATTAAAATGTTGAAAATTTAGTAACAGATTAGAACATAACTATAAAAGCCTTGAAGTCTTAAGAAGAATGTTTTCTTGAGTTTTGTCACCCAAATATTTTTTATGGTAGTTTCCGTTTGGCTAGTAACTAATAATATTCATGACTAACAGTGGGATTATTGAGAAGATTAAATGAGATAACAAGTCATGATCCTGAGAGTGTACCATAAACTATATAAAGCATTGTTTTAAAAAGAATAATTTTTTTCTCTTTTATTACACCATTTTCCAAATCCTGAACGGTATAAGGTGGAAGAAACTACATGAGTTGTTTATTCCAGTCTTTCAATTTTTTTCAAATGAGGATATCATCAGTATGATACAATGAAGAAGCAGACTTTGAGAATCAGAATATTTAGATTTTACTCCTGTTCTACTACTTAGTTCCTATAGTGATGTTGGCCAAACACTTAAGTCTCATTTTTCTCAGTTGTAAATCTGGAATAATGATTTTGTCATAGTAATATCTTCAGAGTCATTATCACACCATTGTCAGATTTAAAGGAAATTATGTATATGAGAATGATTTATAAACTAAAACAAATACCAGTTTTTATTAGTGGTATATAAGCAGTTATTTAAAAATAGTGGGAGAGGTAGCACTTAGAGCACAAGTCTCCATATTGTGAAGCCCAGTGGCCATTTTACTGGTGATCCAATTCAGCAGTATTTATAAAACTAATAAAATGTGTAAGGTGTGATAAGCTTCCTGGTATGTTCAAATAAGCAGTAGAAATAAAAAGTAAATGGGAAAGATTTCAGTAATTATTTTAAGAGAGTAATTTTAATTATTTATGAATAAGTTTTATGGGCAGGACTACTTGGGGTTGGAGATACAATAGGTCTGTTAAGTGGTAAGCACTGCTTTAAAAAATATCTGTTACAGCAGGTTCCTGCTCTTCCCTCTCCTCTCTCGCCCTGCCCCCCTCCCTGGTCTGTATTAGTAAGATTTTACTTTTTAAATAATCTAAGAAATCCAGTTACAGGAGTTTGCATTTGAGTTTTAATAACTTTTATATTGGTTGTTGATCTAGTATCTTGAGTTTTTAAATTAATACTCTTTCTGGTTTGTTTTATTTGTAAACCTGGAATAATATTCCATTAACTCGATTTGATAGCATAATTAAGGAAGTTTGGGTTTTTTTTAAGAGTACTTCTGTGGGAGCTGAGAGTAAAAATCAGTGTAACTCAAGTTTATTATACAGTTATCTCTGTATTTACTGTCTCTTGAAAAATCTTTTACAGAGCTGCTATGAAATTTGCAAGTAGCAGTGCAATGTATATATAAATATATATAAATAAATATATAAGTATTTTTGTTTATTTTAATTTCATCTACTCTAGAGATTTCTTAGTATTATGGATTTGCTATATGACCCAGAATGAAAGAAAGATAAGTTGAATCATAATCGGCTAATGGTATGAGCTTCTAAGTAATCTATAATTTAAAATGATAGTAGCATTATATTCTGTGGCAGTAGTTTTTGTTCCAATAGTGTAAAAACGCTTCTAAAGTCTAATATATTGACTTTAACTTTTATTTATATCTTTCTAGGCAGTCTAGTTAGTTGTCTTGTATGCAACTAATGGAACCAATTTTTTTATAAGCCATCTGAAACTTCCCAAAACTTCATACTTAAAGCATGAAGTACATTAAAAATTTTTTTCTGCAACTTGTTTTGGTCTGAAGTAAATGTACTTCTCATATATCAGCCATTGAGTCATTCTTCACATTGGAATTATTAATTGAAGTTTGAAATTATATACATAAATATATCTTTTGTCTTTCTAGGACATTGCTTTTTAGTATTCTTTGTCCTTATTGGTGAGCTTTTATACATCTTATAACTAAGAAATTGTCTAACCCCTTGAAACCATTTGAAAAAAGTATGTAGAATGATGGGTATAAATATGAAGCATTATTGTTAAAAACAGCTGTCAGGTTTATTGTCTTTGCCTGTGTTTAGGTTTTAGGCAATTGCTAGGACTTTTTCAATAGTGATGCTTATGAATTTTGATTGTTTAATGAAAAATAGACCTTACCCACATTTTTTTGTTATAAATTCATTTTTGATTTTTAAAATTAAGGTTCCTGGGATCAAGCCCTGTGTCGGGCTCCCTGCTCAGTGGAGAGCCTGCTTCTCCTTTTCCCTCTGCTCCTCCCCACCAGCTCGTTTTCTCTCTCTCTCAAATAAATAAAATAAAATAATAAAATAAAAATAAGATTCTTGACATTTTATTTTTTAGACATTTTGAAATAATTGTCTAATCTAGTTTTCAACTATATAGATGATTAAAAAAAAAAATGCAGGCTACATTTGAGCCTAAAATGAATGGGCCAAGTCTTATCATGTGTGATAGTATCCTTTAGTGTTTTGTTTTGTTTTGTTTTTTACCTTCTGGGAAAGAAATTTCATTCCTATTTAATCAAACTTCAGTAGGTAGGTAGTAGCTGAATGGCTTTTGTAATTATGTGTGTGCTCTCTCCTCCCCTTTTTTCCTTCTTTCTATTTGTGATTGCTTTTTTTAGTTAGTTCAGCCTTAAAATATTTTTAAAGTTGGTATTTCTCCTTCATTAAAACATGGTCACACAGTCTTTTAAAAATATTTAAATAATGCTGTTTTAATTTTAATCACATTATTTTTCTCACCATATCAAATCATACTTTCTTTTGTTTTCTAATGTTTATAGGCAGTTATCAAATTCTTGACTAAATGTGGGCCTAGATTGATTTTAGACTCTATTTCTGTATCTTCTTATTGTTGATCACAAAAGTAAATTACATCTTGGGGCGCCTGGGTGGCTCAGTCGTTAAGCGTCTGCCTTTGGCTCAGGTCATGGTCCCAGGGTCCTGGGATCGAGCCCCGCATCGGGCTCCCTGCTTGGCAGGAAGCCTGTTTCTCCCTCTCCCACTCCCCCTGTTTGTGTTCCTTCTCTCACTGTACCTCTCTCTGTCAAATAAATAAATAAAATCTTAAAAAAAAAAAGTAAATTACATCTTGTTTTCCTTCTGATTGCTCTTTTAACTTGATTTGAGAGGTGGGCAGATCACAGAAGGAAGTAGGAGGTATATAACTGAATACGGAGGATAGAGAACTGTTTGCTCATTTTAATTATCACCTTGCTATTAACCAAGGGGTAATCCTAGGTGGAATTTCCTGTTTACTTTTTGTGACCATAGGCCTGAGGAACCAAGAAATGTTCTTGGGCATTTAGAATTGTTAAAGATGGAAAGCAACACCAACTGCTTCTTTCTAAAAGTAATAGAAATTGATTTTATCTATCTATCTATCTACCTATCTACCTATCTATCTATCTATCTATCAGAGAGAGAGAACACAAGCAGGAGGAGTGGGAGAGGGAGAAGCATGCTTCCCGCGGAGCAGGGAGCCTGATGCGGGGCTCGATCCCAGGACCCTGGGATCATGACCTGAGCCGGAGGCAGACGCTTAACGACTGAGCCACCCAGGTGCCCCTAGAAATTGGTTTTGAAGACCCATTTAGATACCCAGATTCGTAAATAATCTCAAGTGCTGGAAGCCATACATTAACCTTAAACTGTATAAGAATACTGCTTCACCATATATTCATTTCTGTTTTTAACAGAGGGGCATCTTAATTGGTAACTTTGTGTGCTCAGATATAGAATAGAACACTGAAGGAAAAGACATTAATTTTATAATGTATAATTGACTTAGCTCTCTAACATTACTTTTTAAAAATAATTTAGTTGTTTTTTAAGTAAATGGCAGTGCATATGGAGTTTTACATATCTTGTTCTATTATATATTGATTTAAGAATCTAGGGTTGTGATATTTTGGGGCCAAATCTACCAAGAGTAAGTGGACATAATAGGTATATTATGTATACAAACCGATCTATTTATTCTTCACATGAAAGAAAAATTTTATTTATACTATTTCTTAATCCAGTGAGACAGAACTAACAAAAAGCTTGTGACATTTCCTAATGAACTTCACTCTGCAGTGTTTTCCTCATGTTTACTTTTTATCAGACAACTTCATATGATACAATAAAGATAAAATATTTAATAATTGCTCTCCTGTACACGAACGCCTATTTTTGGTGTGTGTTTTGGGGGGGGGGGGGCAACTCAGGTACATTTATATTTTCTCTGAAATATATGGCTTGCAAAACCATGAGGCTTAAGGGAGCAGCAGGTGTTTGGGAGTAGTATACCACAATTTCCTTTGCTGTTTTATTACGTCTTTGCTTGGGTGACTTTCATTCTTGGTGTTTGAACCTTAGATAAAACAATTTCTTCAAGTTTTTTACTGTGTACTAAGTTGAATTTCCCCTCCCACAGAGTCTTTTAATGGGTCTCCTACTGGAAGCATAAATTTGGTAAGTATTATTATGGGTACTTAATTATTAAAGTGACTTGAAAATATTATAAAAGGTGAGCTTTAACATACATAAATAAATGATATATTAGAAGCTCTCAGATCATCCTTTTATATCATAAGAAGTTCTTGCTTTAAAAGAAATGTTAAATTCACATATAAGAGCCTCTGAAATTTATTTTCATTTTTAAAAATGGGCTTTAAGTCACATCTGCATAATTCAGTTGTATTTGATTTAAAAAAAAGTGACTTCATTATTTTCAATCCCAATATTTAGTATTTTGAAATGACTCTTTGGTGATTGCTATGTTGGATAGTAAACTTGTGACATACAAGTGTTTACACTGAAATTCGGTTTTTCTTTTTGTATGTAGAAAAGAAATATAAAATTAGGATATCTGAAAACTTCCAGATATTTCTTAATGTGCACACTATGGTTGTTATAAAAATTTTTTTTAAGCTTAAGGCCTTATAGTAAATAAAGCAACTTTATTTTAGGATTACAAATTTAAGAATGATATACTTTTAGCACATAAGCTGTCATTGGCATTTTATACATTCAAAGTGAAGTGTGAAATAATGAACATTTCTGTTCTTTTATATATACACCCTTGTCATGAATAACTTATTTCATAAAATGCTGCTAGGAAGAAATATTATTATGTTCTGTGAAAGTTTCAGTCCAGAGTTTGTGGGGGGTTAGGGAGAGATTGTTTGCTTTGTTTTTATTCTACTTATATTATTTCCTCTTTCAGACTTTTTATAATAGCTAAATAGTCTACAGGTCCATTATCTTATGTTGTCTTCTATATATAACTATATTTCAGAAAATAACCTTATTGAGGGTTTTATTACTCTACAAAGTACAACGTTTAACAAAACACTGAAGCAGTCAGCCATAGTGTTATGTCAGATATGATGTAACATTTGAAATATTGTCCTAAATCATTTGGTATCATTACCATTTGTTTGTTATATTCCATAACCTTATAACAAAAAGGAATAACTTGTAGAGCATGAAGAAAGTATTAGCAATAATACTCATTTGTAATGAAAATGTTTCCAGATGTGATGAAACTTCCTTCATTTGAAATTTTAAGTGTTCACTTTTGTAGTGCTTGTACAAGTGTTTGAACAGTGGTAACAAATACTTTTTTTTCTTTATTCCATATCTGGAATAAATGCTTTTCCAAATAAGAGTGATTCTTTTGTCACGTAGAGATATAAACCAGAGAGTCTCTTGATTGACAAAGGTCACACTTGAGGTCAGGGACTTGCAGTATTTTGTTATTCACATAAATCTATTAAATTCAAGGTTTTAAGTACCTGGAGTCTTTTGGATTCTTTTTTTTTTTTAATATATAGGCAAATTTTAGTGGATAGCTACGTTTTAAAAATAGTTTTAAGATTGTAAAATAAGTCGTCATAATAGTTTTTCCCAAAATGGGAAAACAAAACACTGAAAATAATGTGGTGATTTACTTGTTTTCAATTGAGAAACAAGTAAATAATGTGGTGATTTACTTGTTTTCAATTGAAAGAAAATAATGTGGTGATTTACTTGTTTTCAATTGAGATTGACAGGTAAATTATAAGCCTTTCTAGCAGTGCCATCATAGTTGTGTGGATTATCACAGTAAATCTGAACTTTCATTTTTTGTCTTATCATGTTAAAAAAAAAAAAACAACTTTTTTTGCAAGCAGTTCAAGAATCTTAACCCAAGAATCTTTACAAACTGTATTTTATTTCAGGACAGCATAAGTCTACTTGTTTTGAAATCACAATTTTCTTTTACTAAATAACACTTATAGTTCTAAATCAGAATGTAGTTAATATTATTTCACCAACTGTAATTTTATAGTCTACTTGATATTTACATTTGCATTATACCTGTGACTGAGAGATGTTTCGTTGGATTTTTTCATCATATTTAATGAAAATAATATTAATTGTTTAAGTGTGCTAAAAAGACATTTAGGTACAAAGTTTTCTAACAATTTCTGGGTTGCATAGTATAAGATGGTAACATGTTTAAAGTAATAAGTACTGTTTTGCTGTTGAAATGTTACTACAAGGGAAGGTTAACAATAATAGTAATAACAAAAATACTTCTTAAAACAATTGCTTTATATTCTCTGGGATAGCTTGTAATTGGAAGAAGATCATAGTAAATAACAATCTAAATTTTGTAGAATATTCTATTTTCTCTGAGGCTTCTATCTTTCACATAAAAGTAATACTAAAACAAAGGTAGTGTTTCTGTCAAGATGTTTTATTATAGGTCATAGGACCACTTAAAAATAAGTGCACTCTTTTCAGAGCATTATAATTCACTGTAAACTGACAGAGTTGTAGAGCAAGTATTACACTGTTGTACCATTGGGAACACTGAGGTACAAGAAAGACTGGTTGGTTTGGCTAAAGTCTCTTAGGGTGTCACTGGTGAAGCCTGGACTAGACCCATTTTAATTTAATGATTCGTCCACTTGACCAGGAAAATACTGTGGATTATCTGTATGTTATTATCATACTTTGTTGCTCTTAATGAATAGTCTTAAGTAGTAAACTTTTTGGCTTTCTTCTTAGAATGCAGTTGGCTTTCTTCTTAGAATGCAGTTGCCTTAATTTAAATGGCTGTATGTCATATATAGCTGCATTTAAGTCATTTAAATGACTCTCCTAATAATATTGGTAATATCATGTTAGAACCCAAAGTTCATTCAGATCCTGTGGTTTTTAGAGTATAAAATATGTCTGAATCCTATAACGTCGGTGTGTCAGAGACCATTTCGTTGTTCACTGATTACTAAGAGGACTCGTAGGCCTTAGCATACTCTGACTCTTCTGGAAAGGATTTATTAGAGAGAAAGGATATAAAGCAAAATCAGGAAAGGGAAAAGGCACATGCAACAAAGAACAGAGGAAACCAGGTACAAGTTTCTAAGACTCCTCTCCCATGAAAGTCACATTAGACAAACTTAAATCCTCCAGCAATGAATGTGACAACACATATGAAATGTTGCTACCAGGAAAGCTTATCTGAGACTAAGTGACCAGGGTTCTCACTGGAGGCAGGCCACATAGGCAAACCTCTAGTTAGTACATACTAAAATTCCAGACTCCCAGAAGGAAAGCAGGTGTTCAGCATAAACAGTTATTAGGTACAGTGAACTACTCTTAGTGGTTAAGGAATGGTGGGAACCTTCCCTAATTCTAAATTCCCAGATGTCATCCAAGGGCCAGGCTTGCAAGCATTCCTTTCAAAGGAGAGCAATTTCAAATGAACTCTTTCTTGTTTATTTTTTTCCCCAGCTTTATTGAGGTATAATTGACATAAAACATTACATAGGTTGAAGATGTATGACATATTGGTTTGATATTACAAAATGGTTACCACCTTAGGGTTAGCTAACCCCTCCATCACATCACATAGTTACCATTTCTTTTTGTATTGAGAACATTTAAGATTTACCCTCTTAGTAATTCCAAGTATATAATATTTTATTATGATTATTATTATTTGAAATATAGTGGACTCAGGTTAACTCTTTCTATACAGTCTGTCATTATGTGCCCTTCTAGGTATGTGTGGGTGTGTGTATATGAGGCAAAAAAGTTTTAAATTTAAACCCAAAGGCCATAGTTGAAAAAAGATTCATTTGGGTCACTCAGTAATGATTTTTGTTTGTGGAATTATTTTTGAAAATTATTTAAAATCTTAGACTGGATTCACTTCATGTAATAAGTAATCATAATAGGTAGCATTTTTTTGTGTTAGGCAGTCTTACTGATGTTTTACATGTCTTCTTATTTAATCCTTACATAACCCTATGATGTGTAGGTACTATTACTCTCATTTTATAGATAAGGAATCTAAAATTATTCCTAAGTTTACAAAAATGTTACATAATACAGAATTGGCTCTAGTATAGTTCAACATTAAAAAAAATTGAAATGGTAACTTAAGAACATGTCTACTTATTTTTATCCATATTTTTTTCCTTGCCATATATTGAATATATTTGAGAAGTAACAAATGTCGGTATATGGATAAACAATGAAGGAAGAAATAATCAATGTACTAAGTTGATTTCTGAAATACTTTGTTTTATAGTTTTTTAATTGTGGATTTTCTCTCTGCTGTTAGTATAAATAGAGAGGATTATTGTTGGGGGAGGAATACAGATAATATAAAGTTTACGTGGGGCAAAGATGAGTAAGGCATATATGATGTAGGATGCGTTAACACTTTTTTCCTATAAAATTAAAATATTTTTTTGATTATTTTTCTTTTTCAAGTCTTTAGATGACCTTTCAAATGTATCTTCTGATGACTCAGTACAACTTCATGCTTACATTTCAGACACTGGTAAGAGACTGTGGTATTAATTATTATCACCCTTGGACTATTTTCTACATTTATTTTTACAAACCATTTTTCTCTTCTGTAGTCATTTTTAAGTTACATTTTTTTTTCTGCAGCATGTTTTCCAATAAATTCTGTTACGTTTGTATTATGGTTTGATATATACTCTTTATCATGTTCAGTGATATTTTGTGTATATGTTATGATGTACTTGTATATCTTCTTTCTCTAAGGTTGTTACTGTTTACATTTGGAAAAGCTTAAATTCTAAGCATTTTGTCATTGCTAATAAACTCTTGAAACCCAAACTTTTCTTCTTCTTGTTTGCGTCTTGCTGATAATTGTCTGCATAATTCTTATTAAATTGCTTGGGGCAGATTTTAGCTCCATCTTTTTTATACATGTAAAGTCAGACTAGATAAGTGGGTTAATGAAACATTGGTATAGGAGTTTACAGACGCTTAAGAAATGCTTGGATGAGGTGAGAAACCTAAAATTTTGTGACTTAGCATACATGCAAAATGGTTAGTGAACTGAGAAAAAAATCTATTTTCATCATTGCTATTGGGTTATTAGATAATGCCAATGAGTAGTAGATAGTGATGGTTTACTTATCCCGCCTCTCATGTTCCTAGTTTATAGGAGTGTGTCTGTCCGATTACATTTGAAATATTACCATACTGAGGTATCTCAGTTCAGTTTCGTGCTTACATTTTAGGTAACTAAGAAGAGATTTTATAGTGCAAGTACAGCTTAAAAGATAGTTTGCATTTTTTTTTTTTTAACATCTCTGTTTTCTTTTTCTTCCCACTGGAGCTGGAATCTCATTTTGCATTGTGTTCCCTGCCATATTTTTGAAATAAGTTATTTATAATTACTGTCTAAGTTGTTCTTTTATCCTTTACAGTTAGTTGGTGCATACATTACTCTGCTTATAAAGGTCATTAGATAACAACTTTGTCAATAAAACCAGAGGTTTTGTTGCTTTTCTTTCTAGCTTTTATTATAGTTGTTTCACTTTTCCTTCCTGAAATTTTAAAATTCTTTTTAAAAATCTCTCTTTTCTTTGTTGGTTTATCTTCCAAATATGAAAGTCTTTGTTAAACCACAAATGTTTAGTATTTGTCCTTTTATTTCTTTCTTAAAGACCTTAAACTTTATGTCTCAAAGAAGATACTCATGTCTATATTTCTTATGTAGATCTTTCTTTTCTCTGAAAAGTTGTGGTTTTTCTAGCTCCTTTGTCCATTTATTCAAGAAGTATTTATTAGCTTCTTGAAATGTATGAAAGCACCATACTAAGCATTTTTAATAAATTGTTATTTTTGTCAAACTTATGTATAAATACTAAAGAGGCAGCATAATACAGTTTTAAGAGCATTACTTTTTGTCCATTTCCATGGGTTCAAACCCCAGCTCTGCCACTTAATAGTTGGGTGAACTTGGGCAAGGTCCTTAACTTCTCTGTACTTCAATTTTCTTATCCATAAAATGCAATAATAATAATAATATTTACTTCATAGGGTTGTTAGAGGACTCATTAATTACATTAGTAACATTAGTTTGTTCAATAAATATTTTACCAGTTGGACTCCAGAGAGTCTAGATTTTATATTCTTAGCATCTTTATTACAGGAAGTAGAACTTAAGAGTCCAGTGAAGGGCTTCTCAAGGAGTGGTCCATGAACCAGTGCATACTGCTTCTCTTCTTTGTGAAATCTTCCTTTAAAAAATATTAGCTCAATTAAGCAATGTACTTAATGATGAGTCTGATTTATATTCTGGTTCTTGTTCCTTATCTGATTCTGGATTAGTGACAAATAGTTTATATCACCTGCTGTAACATTGTCCTAATGAAAACAGAATATTTCCACAATAATATCTCACCATCATCTCATAATCAATATATGCAACCTCATTATCTTTCTTTAAAATCAAATTGCCTTTTTATCTTTTGCACAACCTCTTTATTCTTCCTATTGTGCATGCACCCAAGTCATGAGCTCTTCTGCCTATCATTTTGTGATAAATCTGATAATTCTTCTTCCCCTCATTTCTGTTCTTCTTATTCTCCTTGCTCTTGTTAACTTCTAATTGGTTATGATTTGCTCCTAATTGGTTTCTGCTTTCTGTTTTCCTTCCGCAAACCTATCTTGAGCACAACAGATAAAACTATTCCCGGGGCGCCCAGGTGGCTCAGTTGGTTAAGCGACTGCCTTCAGCTCAGGTCATGATCCTGGAGTCCCAGGATCGAGTCCCGCATCGGGCTCCTTGCTCAGCAGGGGGTCTGCTTCTCTCTCTGACCCTCCTCTCTCTCATGCTCTCTCTCTGTCTCTCTCAATAAAATAAAATAAATCTTTAAAAAAAAAACAAAAAAACCCACTATTCCCTGTTGTCATGCTAGCTGTATTTGAGTGGTGGTGGTTCTCTAACATGATGAAAAAGTTTTGTGCAGTTTGTTCTGCATAGGTCTCTGAGAGGATGGCTGGAAGAAGTGAACAGTAAATAATAAATAGTGTTACCTATAGTAATAGGAAAAAACAAAAGAATGTCAAGATCATGCCTGGAAAAGGTATCTGTCATCCTCAAGAAATTGAAAGCCTATCTTGATTCCCAACATGGGTGTGTCTAGAGTCAGCCATCTTCAAGTGATTTGTACCACAGGTCCTCCTAGCCTGAGAGGGTGTTAAAAATAGTCACAGAGATAAAACCTAAGGCAAGAATGCAACACTATGAAAAAACAACCAAATACAATTGTAGAAAAAAATACTGTGATTGAAATTGAGGTCAGTGGTTAGATTAAGAAATAGACCAGATGTAGATGAATGGAGACTCAGTAAACTTTTAAAGACCTGAAGAAATGATCTAGAATAGAATACCACACTAGAAAGAGGTAAGAAAATGGAAAAATAGGAAAGAAAATTAAAGAAAATGATTCAAAGTGAATCCCTTTACTTAAGGTTAGTACACAGTGGGAACAGGTTTAGATTTTAGAGACTACCTCACTGGAATGGTTTGTGACACGTCAGTAGGAAAATGCCTTTTCCAAAAAAAAAAAAACAAAAAAACCCACAAAACTCCAGAATGAACTACACTTGTAAATTTTTGAATGTTATAAATGGTGAAGAGGCGTGTCAAAAGAGTGCATGAAACCTTATTCCTTGGCTTTTGCTTTCTGTTTAGTTGAAGAGATTTTAATTGAAATACAGCTGAATAGTGAAGGTTACTATGAAAGATTATTTTGTTTCTGTTATTTTTCCTCTATTAATTTAAAGAATAATACTGCAGTAGGTGGTAGTGTGGTATCGAAACTAAGAATCGGCACAAGCTCTTGAGGAAGAGAGTCTAAAGTAGATACCACTGTGTGGTTGGTAGTGTCATCATGAACTTATGGTGGAGTTACTGTGTATAAAATCTTGTCATTGTGAGTACAGAGGATGGGAATCTATTTGACCCTTGGGTGACATCCTTTGGTCTCAGTCTGTCATTTCAAATTCTTCTTCATTTCATGTCTTTTTGTTTTTGTTCTTCATCTTCCTCCTCTTTGTGTGTTTTGTTCCTCTTCATTTTGTTTTAAATGACTAGTATATGCTGACTATGACCCATATGCTGTGGCAGGCGTTTGTAACGATCACGGCAAGACATACGCATTGTATGCCATCACTGTACATCGGCGCAATCTGAACAGTGAGGAGATGTGGAAAACCTATCGTCGCTACAGTGACTTTCATGACTTCCATATGAGGATCACTGAGCAGGTAATGAGGTGGTTAAAGTTTCTGTGTTTTACATTGTTTCCTGATTTGATGTGCGATTCTAAATAGTTCTGAGGATGCTAAGATACTGACCAGAGCAGAAGAAAATAAAGTAAGCATTTTCGTATGATCAGCATAATGTCAGAATGATTATGGGCATTTAACCAATAAATCAATCTTTAACCAGTCCCAAGCATTGTAGACCAGTGACAAAATATCAGTGATCTACCTTGGAAAATTAAAATGAATGTATATTTCTGATTGTGTGTGTGTTGCTTTGTAGAGGTGTTTGGGTTTTGTTTAAAATAGGGAGGATCACTGCAAGGCATTTTGTGTTTTGTTTTCGGCAATATAATTCAGAGCTCTAGTTATTTTAAATGGTATCCTTATCCCCACAGTGTAACAGTTAAGTCCTTTATCCATCAAGTTGTTTTATAAACACAACCTAAATTAAATTTAACATTAACCAAATAATGTTTTTAATTCTTACTAAATACAACCCTTTTGTTTTATAGAAGTATATGGACCCTTAAGGATAACACATGTAAACAAGTTATTTCTCTGCTTTACTTTTTTATTAAATACTTTCTTCTTTAACTTTGAAAAGTAGATTATCACCAGATGAATTGCAATATGTGATCTGTGGAATTTAACTTCTGAGAATCTTTTATTTCATTCAAAGTTTTTAAATATGCGGTGATATTAAACCAATAAAAATAATAATTACTGGTGATGTTTGGACAGAAGCTTTGAAATGGCATTGTATTATTTGAGTAATCAGAAAATACCTTTTTCAGTTAAGATAGTGGAAAAAATATGGTTGATACCATGATAATCTCATTAAAATATTTTGTGAATAGAGTGAGATAAACTATTAATGGCTTAAAGGTGATTAAAAACAGATTAGTGTTGGCTCCAGAAGCCCATATGAAAAAGACTATTTTTTTTTTTTAAAGATTTTATTTATTTATTCATGATAGACAGAGAGAGAGAGAAACATAGGGAGGAGCGGGCTCCCAAGGAGCAGGAAGCCCGATGCGGGACTCGATCGCAGGACCCTGGGATCATGACCTGAGCCGAAGGCAGATGCTTAACCATCTGAGCCACCCAGGCGCCCGAAAAAGACTATTTTGAATCATAAGGAAATTAATAACTTCAGGCATGCCTGTTCTATTTTTGTTGTTGAATAGATCACCATGTTTCTTGATTTGTTTCATGTTTAGCTTGATTTTTGTGTTTTTTTTTTTGCAGAGGTGAAAGAATTTTCTGTCCCACATTGAAGAAATAAATAATTGCTTTGATTTTTTAAATATTGCCTGTTTTGTATGCTAAAATCCCACAGCTTATGTATCTTTCTCCCCATCCTCACACTTTAACCAAGCAAGACAAATTTAAGATAATATGAATTGCTAGGAAGTAGTTTTATTTACTTGCAAATCAATGAGAATTTGGTATAATGTGAAATTTTCTAGTCTAGGAATGTAAATGTCATGTTTACATATTGACAAATACAAGTGAAGAACATACTTTAAAAAAACTTTATTAATAGAACAGTTCATACAGAAATTCTTTTTCTTTTTTTTTTTAATATTTATTTATTTGACAGAGAGATAGAGAGAGAGTACAGGTAGGCAGAGAGGCAGGCAGAGGGAGAGGGAGAAGCAGGCTCTCCGCTGAGCAGGAAGCCGATGTGGGGCTCGATCCCAGGACCCTGGGATCGTGACCTGAGCTGAAGGCAGACACTCAACCGACTGAGCCACCCAGTCGCCCCCAGAAATTCTTTTTCAATACAGCATCAAAAATTAAATGAAATTAATAAAGTGAATTCATTTTTGAGAGGGCTCAGTACAGGCAAAGTGGTTTTGACTTTGTGTTTCCTATCAAGTTCTGTTAGTGTTTAATAAGTACTTAACTATTTAGATTGCTCACAGAGCTTAAGAATTTAAAAACAAAGCTTGTGAGTGAAAATGTAGCTTTAAGCAAAATGCTAAGCATTTGTAAATAAGATTCAGGCTGTTTGCCTCTTAGCTCTGCTTTACCTGTAGTTTTAAATTTAAATCTCTCATAAAATAGAAGAAAAATGCAGTGACTGAATAGTAATACATCCATTGGTAACAGTACAACCTGTTGACACAAATGAATTTTAACTCCATAGAGCTCTTGAAGTGTTAACATTTTTTAAAACAGGTTTTGTTTAACTTTGTGATGTGAACTTTTTCCAGTCTAAATATATAAAAACATTTATTTTCTTTAAAGATTTTTTAGCCTCATTTGATATTTTATGGGTAAAGATTTATAAAATTGAAAGAAAATAATTAAAAAATTAAATGTGACATTATTTTAGAAATCGCCTGAACCTACGCATTTATTTATTCAACAAATATGTATTAAGTTTTTTCTCTGTGCTTGGTACTGTTCTCAGTGCTGGTAATATATCAGTGAACAGGACAGACCAAGTCCTTGCCTCTCGGAGCTTACATTCTAGTAGACACTGCATTACTGTTACACTGGGTGAATTGTATATTAGTACTGATAAAATACTAGTGATTTAGAAAATATTAAGTATGCATTAAGGTAACTGAGTAAAAGTATTTATGTGCCTGGCTATAAACCAATTTTGAATCCTTCTAACAAAATTTCAGGCATGCTCTTTGAATTTTCCAGTAGTGCATCAGGAAGACATAATTCAATGTAGAAAGATAAAATCTTTTATTTTGGAATGTTTATGAAATATATATATCTGAGTTCTTTGTGAACATGAAATACTCTTTAATTTATGTGAGTTCTTATGTTCAGGCAAATTTCTAATTTTTTTTCTTTACATGCTTTAAAAAAATTTCTTGAATTTTTGGCAGAGGGAATTATATTACCTTTCAGGGAGTGGGCTACTTCTTACTTGTACTTATAAAATCTTTAAAATACCAAACTTGTAATGAGTTTAATATAGAGTATAAATTTCACCATTTTTTCCTTTTATAATAATAATATTTGAGAGAACTGTCAGTCATTAATGCTTCTGTTCCAGATAATTTTAAAACGAGTTTGATAATCTAGGCTTTAAGAAAATAACTTTTTTGGCATTTAATTTGTTTTCTTTTTCTTTTTCTTTTTTTTTTTAAAGGTTTTATTTATTTGACAGAGAGATAGAGCACAAGTAGACAGAGCCGGCAGGCAGAGGGAGAGAGAGAAGCAGGCTCTCCGCTGAGCAGGGAGCCCGACGCGGGCTTGATCCCAGGACTCTGGGATCATGACCTGCGCCGAAGGCAGACGCTTAATGACTGAGCCACCCAGGCGCCCCTAATTTGTTTTTTTCTAATTAACAAGGTTTAATATTTTAAAGTTTCTGAAATAAATTGTTGTTTTATTGCAAACTGCTATATTCCTTTGATGTATTAATTTGCTAGGGCTACCGTAACAAAATACAACAGACTGAGTGGCTTAAACAATAAAAAAAATTTTCTTTCAGTTCAGGAACCTAGAAGTCCAAAATCAAGGTGTTGGTGAATTTGGTTTCTCCTGAGCCATCTCCCCTTAGCGTTCAGATGGACACCCTTTTCTCTGTGGCTCCACATGGCCTTTTCTTTGTGTGCTCACCTCCTTCATGTCTCTTTGTGTGTTCAGATTTTCTCGTCTTAAAGACACCAGTCCCAGTCACATTAGATTAGGGCCCACCCTGAGGGCTTTGTTTTAATTAATCCCCTCTCTAAAGGCGCTATCTGCAAATACAGCCACATTCTGGAGTACTAGAGGTTAAGGATTCAATGTATGACGTTGGGGCAATACCTTTCGGCCCATAACATCTTTGTATTACCAGAATAAAGTATGTATTCTGTAAAGTTAAGTCAGTAGTTAAAGATGATGTAGAAAAGTAATATTCCAGCAAATTAAATAACTTTTGGGACACCTTGAAAAACTTAATTTATTTCCATAAGGTATATAAGGTATGATTTTTTTAATTCATAAAACCAGGAACTCTCCACTGGACATTTGATATTCAATGAGGACCCATTCTAATACTTTTGTGAGCAACCAAATTTGTGAATATGGCTACAGCATAACATTTGCCCTGTAAATTGCAACTTTCCTTTTTTGTTTTTCTTGCCTTTGCTGAGGCAAAAGAACTGCCTTTACCTTTCATGTATAACATACAATGAACTTATTCACATTATAGTTGCAGGCAACCATCAGATTTGCCATTCCATTTAATAATTTTTTAGAATCTTCCAGTTTGGAGATGAAAATTAACTTAAACCTTTTCATTTCCTCTTTAATCTCTGCACCAGGAATGAGTTTTCTTTACAGAAACATTACTGTTGATGTTTTTAAACAAAGGATGGTTTTAGAAAGTTTGTTTTAGTTTAGGACATGTATCACATGGGAAAAACAGGAAGGCTGCTTGAAGTTTCAGTTACTAGGCTTTTGGCCAGCCACAGTCAATAGCTAAATGACTTTCCTCCCGTGCTGTGTTAGTAGCTGGTGTAGTTAAACTCTGTGCTTTAGCAAGGCACAGCACATTACTATATATGTGGGCCTTTGAAGGTGCACCCAAATGTTAAGTCTGTAAATGCTAGACCTAAGAGCATATACACTTACTTGGTGCTTGTGGTCTTGCAAAGATACGATACATACTAATGGCTTTTAGGTTTTTTTCTTAATAATCTCTGAGTTTATTTTTCATGTGTTTGATGGGGAAGAAGTGTCCATGTTGTACTACAGTTGTTTATATACAGAGTTGTAATAAAACTGTAATCAATATTTTGAAATTTGCCTTTTCTATTTTTTTTTTTTTTTAAAGATTTTATTTATTTGACAGAGAGAGACACAGCGAGAGAGGGAACACAAGCAGGGGGAGTGGGAGAGGGAGAAGCAGGCCCCCCACGGAGCAGGGAGCCTGATGCGGGACTCGATCCCAGAACCCTGGGATCATGACCTGAGCCGAAGGCAGATGCTTAACAACTGAGCCACCCAGGCGCCCCACCTTTTCTATTTTTAATAACTAGCTATTAGGATGATTAACTGATTGACAGTCATCAATATTAAAAAAGATTTCTTTAGTAGATTTCTTAAGCCAGGAACTCATGGGTCTTTGGTCTTTAAAAATATATTTGCTAATACTTTATTCACAAGTCAAAGTGTTAAGGAAAATATTTTAAAACCTTTTATTATTGATAATTTTGAACAAAATTAGAGTATTAAAAAGGAAACCCCATGTGGACATCATTCCTCTTTTTTTTTTTTTTTTAAAGATTTTATTTATTTATTTGACAGAGAGAGAGACAGCGAGAGCAGGAACACAAGCAGGGGGAGTGGGAGAGGCAGAAGCAGGCTTCCTGCCGAGCAGGGAGCCCGATGTGGGACTCGATCCCAGGACCCTGGGATCATGACCTGAGCCGAAGGCAGACGCTTAACAACTGAGCCACCCAGGCGCCCACATCATTCCTCTTTATCAGTTATCCATGTTTGTCATTCTTGATTGAAAATACTCCTTTATAAATAAGTAGCATTAGAACTGTGGACATACTTTCTGATTTTTGCTTAATAGAATATATTACAAAATAATCTGTTAAAGATGCTTTTGATATATAGAGGAATTGTTCCTTGGAAAATGCTTTTCATTTTTTGTAAAAAAAAAAAAAAAACTAAAATTATTGAATGTATTTTATCTTCTAGTTTGAAAATCTATCAAGCATATTGAAGCTTCCTGGTAAAAAGACTTTTAATAATATGGATAGAGATTTTTTAGAAAAAAGAAAAAAGGATTTAAATGCATATTTGCAGGTAAGTCCATGTTTATTATTACCCATAGATTTTCATTTTAATGTAGCCTACAGATATAGTAGATTTCTTTATTAAAGAATGTTTTAATATAATAGTGGAATAGTAACCACTTTTCAGTAGTATGTCACATCTGTTCAGTAATTTATCAATATTCTCTGTTTTCTGGACACTGCTAGGGATTTTGTCACTTCAGGTTTAGATGAATACACACACACAGGCACACATGTGTCTTACACATTACTGTAAAGTCTAGGTGTTTTATGGTACACTAAACAGATAAATGTTTCCAGTTCACTAGGTAGTTGCTCTTCAAAGCTAGCATATTTTCATTCCTGATAAATGCCTCCTATGGTCCACAGTAAGTCTAAGACTTCTAAAATTACAGGATAATTCAAAAGAGGAATAGATCTGAGGGACTATTTCTTACATGTAGTATTCTAGGTATGTAGATTTTCTATTGTGGAATAACAAAACTTGTCTCACAAAGTTATTTATCCCAGAAAAAAACTTTTAGACCTGGGTACCCAGATGTCAGATATAATAATAATATCACGTTATAGTTTTTTATACTAATGAATGATTTGTAAAGGTTTTTCATCAAATAGACCTGGCTTTAGCCCAGGTATGTAATGTTCCATTATTTAGACCCCCTACTCCACCCTCTAGAACAGGGGTCAGCAAATTGCAGGCTGCAGACCAAATCTAGTTCACCATATGTTTTATTGAGTTTTATTGGAACACAGCCATCCATTCAGTTTATTATTGCCTAGTACAGCTTTTACATTTTGCTACAGTAGAGTTGAGTAGTTTCAGCAAAGACACAGTGGACTACAAAACCGAAAGTAATTATTATCTGGACCTTTGCAGAAAAGTTTGCTGACCCTTCCCTCGTATGTAGTGAAACTTAGCTAATGCTATACTGGATATTTTGTTTGGAAGGTTTCTCTCTCTCTTAAGCATTTATAAAAACATTTGTAAGTTTGATTTGGTTTGTTTATAACCATAATTGTAATTCCATGGCATTATTATTTCCTGGAAAGATAGCAAAACATATAATTCTCTTATTATTTACCTTTGTCTTCTGACTTAAAGCTGGATGTGTGATATGATTCGTATGACTCTTGTCAAACACTGGTTTTTTAATTTAAAAAATTTTTTAAAGATTTTTTTTGAGAGCAAGGGAGCACAAGTTGGGGGAGGGGCAGAGGCAGGGGGAGAGGGAATTGCAAGCCAACTCCATGCTGAGCACAGAGCCCAACTCGGGGCTTGGTCTCACAACCCTGAGATCCATCACCTGAGCTGAAATTGAGTCAGACGGATGCTTAACCGACTGTGCCACCAGGGACCCCAAACACTTTGATTTTTTTAATATGTTAGCTTTAATTGTATAAAAATCTGTATCAGTTATGTGTAAGATTTAAAAGACTTTTTCCCAAATCTGGTGCCATAAATGTATCTTTTAAATATGGCTGTACCAAATATATTGTAGCTGATGAACTCAAGATATGTCAAAATAACGTTCCATTGAAGGCATTAAGGTAGAATGTTAGGTTGTATCATTAACAGTTGTGAAAGCGGTATGTTCAGATTATTTTATGTACTTTCTATTAATGTTAACTTTAGAATTAGGATGTGATAAACATAACAGTTTACTAATGTGGATCTTCGTAGTATAAGCTATAAGACCTGAAAATGGACTATAGTAGTCTCCTCCCCTTATCTGTGGTTTTTGCTTTCCGTGGTTTTACTTACCCAGTCAGCCATGGCCATGGTCCAGAAGCAGATGATTGTCCTTCTGATGAATTGTCAGAAGGTCAGTAGTAGCCTAATGCTGTGTCACAATACATATGTCATTCACCTCACCTCATCTAATTATGTAGGCATTTTCTCATCTCTTATCATCACAAGAAGAAGGGTGAGTACAGAACAGTAAGATATTTTGAGAGAGAGACCACATTCACAGTATATTGCATATACTTTTATTACAGCATATTGTTATAATTGTTCTATTTTATTGTTATTATTGTTAATCTCTTACTCTGCCTAATTTATAAATAAAGCTTTATCACAGGTATGTATGTATGTATAGGAAAAACCAGTATATGTAGGGTTCGATACTATCTTTGGTTTCAGGACTCCACTGGGGGGATTGGAATATATCCCCCATGGAGAAAGGGGAATGCTATAGTAAATACATTTGACAACTGTCACAGTAGATGCATTGAAAGTCAAAAAAGCAGATGGGAAGAATATACACCGAACTATTACTGGTCATAGAATTATTGATGACTTTATTTATAAACTGTGTAATTGGTTTTTTAAATACAAAATTAAAATTCTGTAGATGCTTAATTTTCTAGCAGATAAAATTATAGATAGGAGTTAATTTCCAATACCGTATCTATGTAGGATATCTTCTTTTTTTCCCCCATTAGTTACTGTTGACTCCTGAAATGATGAAAGCATCCCCAGCTTTGGCTCACTATGTGTATGATTTCCTTGAGAACAAAGCCTACAGTAAAGGGAAAGGGGATTTTGCTCGCAAGGTAAGCAGACCATTGCATTGGTTTTCTTTATAGGTCTGTTTTCATCATTTTTAAAAAAGATTTTAATTATTTACTTGAGGGAGAGTGAGAGAGCACAGAGGGAGAGGGAGAAGCAGGCTCCCCACTGAGCGGGTAGCCTGACACGGTACTCAATCCCAGGACCCCGAGATCATGACTTGAGCTGAAGGCAGCCTCTTAACTGACTGAGCCGCCCAGGCACTCCTTCATACATTTTTAAATAAAAGAAAATAAATTTACATTTGTAAGTTTTAAAACCGGAAAGTTTTATTAAATGCTTTTTGACATGTTTATCTTCTATGGTTTATTAAGCCTGCTATTGATAGGCATATCTGATAAATATAAACTATTTTTACGTGTAGATTAAAATCTAGCAGGAGCTTAAAAGAAAGAAAAAAGACTTTTTGAAATAATGCAGTGAGGAACATTTGCCTAAGATAGGTCCCAAGCTTTTCAATAACTTGAGGAGGAGCCATTTCTTACTGACAGGAAGGGTCTTTTACTTGGAATGAGGATAAGAAAAATGTTCAATAGGTTATGTTCCTGAAAGTATTTATGCCCCTTGGGTGAAATCTTTATTATTTAAAATTTCTTTGGGGATATGGGTCCTAAACTTGGAATTAGATGGTAGGTTAAGACAATAAATGACAAAGTGCTCAAATCGGGCAAGATAGTTTAGTGATTGAGAACACAGACTTTGGAATTAGTCTTTGGTTTAAATCCCTGCTCTGCCATTTACTAGCTGTGACCTGCAACATGTTAGTTACTTCACGTTTTGGTCCTTTAGTTTTCCCAAGAAATGAAGATACTAATCCTCATTTTACAGCATTGTACAAGTCAAATGTGATATTCCATGTATGACAGCACCTGGCACTTCATTAACTTCAGAATAAATGTTGCCTCTTCGTAGGAGTGGCGGCAGTCATAGTGGGAGCAGTAACAGCAGTTGGGAGGCCTGGGTGAATAGTGGGTAGGAACTCTGTAGTTTTATACCTTTTCAAAAGTCTAAAATTATTTCAAAATGAAAATTAAAAACAAACAAAAAGTGACTTCCCTGCCACTCCTCCCTGCGCTCTGAAAAGACTAAAAAAAAAAAAAAATATGGAACTGGTACAAAATAAGTAAGAATTAACTGGTACAGAATAAGTAAGAATTAAACATAAGAACTGTGTATGATTACTCTAGGGTGTTGGGTTTTAACATCCAAGCGGATATTAACATTTTTTAGTGGAGTGTTTTAATAACAAGTTCCATATTATGTGCCTGATAATGGTGGGGGGACAGTGTGGTGAAATGTCTTTGTATTTCGTGATTGAAGTGATTGAGTTTAAATTTCAACTCTAAGTGGTTTTATTGTCAGTAGAGATGCCTTCTAGTGTTCCATCTTTTTGATATTTACCTTATTTTCTCTCAAGATTTTATCAATTTTAAGAAGAACTAATAAATCAATAACAGCTTTTTTGAGATAAAAGAAATGTTACCTCAAATGTACACAATTTCTTTTTGTCGACCATAGTACTGTGTGTGTAGAGCATATATATGCTCTATATATCTGGACAGCTGTGTATTGCTTTTTAAAAATATTACCACTGGAATCTAAAGATCCTCTGAATCTTTCTGGAAGTCCATAGTAACATACATTTTTCATAAATCATATTGGCTGTTACCAAGGTCATCTTGACCTCTTTTAGATTGGCAAAATAATTTTTATGCACATCAAGAATTAGGGGTTTTCAGCTACATTTCCTTTTTGGCTAAATTATAATTTAATATTTTTTTCTTAATTATATTTCACTGAAAATTAAGTAGGTATTAGAGAAATCATCTGCAAACATCTCAGTGGCTATCAGAGCTTGAGAAATAATACTTTATAACATATTAACCTGGTCACAGAGTTTGTCTAGCCTTTCAAAATATGTGGGCAATTCCTAGGAAGAGTAACTAACACACAGTCTTCCTTTATTCACACTGTTTCTTTCTATCCAGTTTGATACTACGGTGTGAAGGCATTTTTTAAGCTATAGTTAAGGGACCTAAATTTAAATTAAAATTACTTTGTGTTGTTACTGATACACATAATTGAAGTGATAATGCAGGGAAAACATCTTTGGTAAGTCAGGCCAAGTGTACACTTATGCTGGTGATCCATAATTCATTCCTCTGCTTGGTAATTTACAAGTTTGTTTTTTTGTTTTAAGCACGTGTTTTAAGACAAATCCTGTTTGTGGAAATCTTGTCATACAGCGATGGACTCTGTTTTTATGCTTCTGAAATTCTGCTTTTTTCAGGATTAGGCATCAAAATCACCTGTGGAGGTTTTTCCATCCCTCTAGTTCACCCATTCCCCGTCCCCAATACAGATGCTTGGGCTTTACCCTCAGAATTGAAAAACAAAAAACAAAAAGGAAAAAGGAAAAAAAATAGATTCTGTAGGTCTAGGATAGTGCACAGGCAACTATTTATAATTATTAACTAATACATGATACAGATTTAGGTTCTGTTATTTAAGAGTATCAGTGGTAGTTTAGCCCCATGTCTGGTGTGAGGCTACATACACATACACACATATGTAGTTTTACCCACAAGTGCACATGCACACAGAGTTAGCTTCACCTTTTTAGCCTTTTTATCTCTGTATCTGTGTACCAGTGGTAGTGTTTTTCAGACCCTTCTCTGTACTTGTTTTTGTCCTTTGGTTCTCTTCTGAATTGTTCTATTGTGACAATGTCCCTCCTAAATGTTGCATATTCCATCAAGCATATCTAGAGCACTATTGACTCAGCTTAATCCAAAGAGTAACTAAAACTTCCAATTATTTTATGGCTATCTTGAAATTCATTTGTTGTCGTTTTTTTATAGCACTTATTTAACCTTTTCTAGTTTTTCTTAATGGAAACCATGAAAACATACTAGAGTGAAGGAGTTTTATCTTCTTGATACCATCTCTTAACATTGTGCTATGTTCCTGAAGTAGTGGAGTTCAGTGTCTTTTAGTTTTTTGTTTTTGTTTTTGTTTTTTTTTGGTAGGGAACATAATTTGTTTCTGCATTAGTTCTTATGAGAGTCACACTTTCTGGAAAATATTCTTGTAGATTTTTTATGACTTTGATTTTGTGTCCCTTTTTTGTTTTTTTCTTTGTTTCTGTTAAAATTCTCAGAGTTCCATATGCAGACTATTTTGGTTTCTAGATGTTTCTTCCTTTCTTAATTGAAATTATCTGACATTTGTGCAGTCAGAATGTCAATTTTAATGCTTCCTATCCCCCTGGAGATTATTCCTTTTTATATTTCTGATCATATTTTCTTTTATAGTTTTTCTTTTCTGTCTTACTAAAGGATTCCATAGTCCCTCTATAGATTCTGAGCATGTAATGTAACCAAAAAATTATTTTAAAAAATAAATCTTAGTTACTTGTTAGTTACTTGAGCTTTCTGCTTATTTTATCTGCTTGTTTATTTTTCATTGTCTCCTCAAAATACCTATGTTATTATTGCCTTGAATTGTAGCAGAAGTATGTTGTGGCTAATTCCGTTTGCACCAATTTCTGTTTTGGAAAATGTTTTATTTATTTTAGCTTATTTCTTTAATAAGGCAGCCAAAACTTGTAATCACTAGCAACATATTTTATTTTTTGTATAAGCTAAAGCTTATATTTTCTAGCAATTGCCTTATCACCAAGTTTTTTAATCATATATTTGTGTGTGAAAATACATTTTAAGACAATACATTTTGAAGAAAGCTCTGTACTTTTAAAATGCAATTAGATATTATAGACTAGAAAGTTACTGCATTTTTCATGTGTGTTGCACTCTGTATTTTCCCAGGCTTCTCAGTTAAATAACAAGTCTGATACAATGAAGTCATGGTATAATATCTTTTCCCCTTAGATGGACACTTTTGTAAATCCACTTCGAAATTCTATGAGGAATGTTTCAAATGCAGTTAAATCCCTTCCTGATAGCTTGGCAGAGGGAATGACTAAAATGTCAGACAACATGGGCAAAATGTCAGAAAGATTAGGTCAAGACATAAAGCAATCATTTTTCAAGGTAAGAAGATGTTTTCAGTAATATCTACAGCAAACTATTTTTAAATCAACTAAGATTTATTGAGCTTCTGCTTAGATTTACCTTATTTCTTTTGAGAAGTCCAAAGCTCCCTAGACACATAGTCTTATAAAAAATAAAAAAAAATAAAGAGAATGAATTCTTATCAGAAATGGATACTGTGAAACCCAGTCACTCCTCAGGCTTTGCTGTGGTAGAATTTTGAAAGCCAGTAAAGATAACCGACATCCTTTGTACTGTTATATTCTATTATGCCATTTTTATTTTATAATGCTATTAAATTTTAAAACAATAGCAAGTGCTGTTGTGCAAATGAGCTATACTAGTATTCATCAGGAAACAAAGCCTAATTTCTCCTGCTTCACCTGACCAAGTGGCTAGGCTAGGAGATCAAAGGGAGGAAAAGTCTCACAATCATCAGGCTCTGGGGCCATCCTTAACTTGGATATACAAGTGAGTGGTATAGAAGAGTTTCATAGAGAAACATTTTCATCACATTTGCAAATACAGGTAGCAGACCAAGTTGTTTGTTACTTTCTGAGTTATACTTTTTATAATTTTCACCTACTTGTTTAACGTTATAATCAAGACTATAAAAAGAAAACTTGTTACTGTTAGAGTTTTCTATTTGTTAGATCATGTTTGAAGAGTAAATATAATATGTATATAAATATAGAATAAAAATACACACAATTTAAGAGACAACTCCTAAAATAATGTGTGTGTAAATCCATACTTTTCTATTTATTCTTATACTTTCTCTGATGCTTTATCTTTGTTTCTAATCATGGGGGGATGTACACTAACACTGGAAATGAGGATTTTTGCCAAGTGGCACTTCCGCCGATAACTACTCATATGACTTTGTACAGAAGTCACTGAGCTTTTCCCCGTTCCTTTTTCCTTACCGGCAACATGAAGGGGTTATAAGTGATCTTGATGGTCCCTGCTGTGCTGACAAATGATTTTCAACTAACACCGGTCTCTCCATTTTCCTCATAACTTATCTAAAACAGGTTAATTAGTTTCTTAAGTCTGTTAACTTACTGTCAAGCTCCTTATGGTAAAATAAAGATTGGAATTCTGTTCTCTGGCTGTGCTACTAACTTTTGGTTTTTAAATCATTTAACCTTTCTTAGCTTTAAGTTCTAAAAAGTATAGGGGTTTTACTAAGTAATCTCCCCTTCCAACTCAAAAGTCCATTTTTTTTTTAAAGAAAAAAATCTTTTGGTAATGAAGTAATCACACTTTAACATTGGGTTTCTAATTGTAGAGTGTTAATACTTTTTAATACTATACAAACTTTGTTTATATATCGTTCCAAAAATCAAATTAAATGCTATTATTATGCTTTATACTCATTTTGATTTATTATTGTATTCTTTCACTGTCTGCTTTAGTGTGTTTATTTTGCTCTGTTTTTATATACTTTTAAATGTTAGGTGCCTCCTTTAATTCCGAAGACTGACTCAGATCCTGAACATTGTCGGGTCTCAGCTCAGCTTGACGATACTGTGAGTTAATTTTATTTTTGGTAGTATTCAACTGTAATTGAAATCATACTTGGTAAATCTTTTTAACTGATTAATGAAGTATAATACGTATACCTATTACTATATACCTATGTGTATATATTATGTGTTAAGTTTGATGAATTCTTACAAACTGAACGTGTCCATATAATCAGCACTCTAAGCAAGAAACAGAATGTTACACCAATACCCCAGAAAGCCCCTAATGCTCTCTTCCTGTCACTATCCTCTCCCCCACCAAGGATAATCACTATCCTGACTTCTACCCTGCTTTTATGCTTTATATAAATGAAACTGTAAGGTATGTACTCCTTTAAGTCTGGCTTTTTTTTTTTTTGCTCAACGTTGTGATATTCTTCCGTGTTGTTTTGTGTGATTGTAGTTTCTTCATTCTTGTGGACTTACAGTACTCCATTTTGTAAATATAGTATAATTTATTTGTTGTAATATGAATAGTACTCCTGTGAACATTCTGGTACCTGTCTTTTATTTGATTAAAAAATTAAGTATACATTTCTGTGGGGTCTGTACTGAGGAATGGAATTCCTTGGTTAGAAGGTATTCATAAGTTCGGTTTTAAGAGATACTGTCAAATAGTTTTCCAAAGTGTTTGTGCTGCTTACGCTGCTGCCAGCAATGCATGAGGATTTCAATGCTCCATAGCCTGTCAACAGTCAGTATGTTGTGTCTTTTAAATTTTAGCCATTCTGGTTGTATCTCATACGGATTTCCATTTCTCTGATGACTGTGGAAAAGTTGAACCTCTTTGCATATGTTTGTTGGCCATTTGGGTGTCTTGTGTCTCTAGCTCTTTCCTCTACTTTTCTGTTGGCTTGGCTGTCTTTGTCTTTTTTGATTAACAAGAGTGCTTTATATAATCTGAATAGTGGTTCTTTGTCAGATAAAAGTATTTGTGTATTGTGAATATCTTCTAGTTGGTGTGCTTTTGTGCAAAGTATATATATAATCTGTGCATACTACAAGGTCACTAGGATCACTTGTGATTTTCTTTAAAAATCTTTTTTGTTTTAGCATGCCGAAATTTAGATTTCCCATTCATCTAGGATTGATTTTTGTGTATGGAGTGAGGGCAGTTGACCCAAGCACCATTTACTGAGAAGGCCTTCTTTTCCCAAGTGTACTGTTTCTCCCTTGTCACAAATTAGATTATCATATATGTTTGGGTCTGGGCTTTGTATTCTATTAGGCAGATTTATTTTAAAGTCATAATTATCTCCCTTCAGTTTTTCATTGAATTTCCTATAATAAACTGTATTAAACAAAGATAATATTTTATTTGCTTTTTAAGGAGTATTTTATTATGAGTTATGCTGGTATAACATTTGTAACATCATACCTTCTGTTGAAAGTTTTTACAATTTAGCTATTTATTAGAATTACCATGTCTTACCAAACTAATGAGTATATACTCAATCAGAAAATAGAGAAGTATTTATTTGCTTCTGGAGTGAAATCCGTCTCTGCCCCCCACTCCCTCACCAGCCCCAGCCATTCCTTGTTTGGTTTAGCTCTGAGTTTTCAATATGTGGAAGGGAAGGTGCACTAAGAAAATGTTTACAGTGTAACAGTGAAAATAACTCATGCTGTTTTCTCAAGATTTAAATTACAACATGGATGAGGAAATGATTGGAAAGAGTATCTTAGTGATGAAAGAATTATAAAATTACTGGCAATTATATGCAGTTTGATTGTAGTTCTAAATCTGTTTTGCTTTGTATATATTTTTTCACATCAAAGCTTTCTTGTCTTTATTTTTTTTTTAACTTTTATTTTTTTGCTCTTCTTGTAGTCATCTTTACTTTTTACATCATTAATTGAATATTCCTGTACAAATTTTTACTTGCTAAAAGTTAAAAGAAAATTTTAGGGGCGCCTGAGTGGCTCAGTTGTTAAGCATCTGCCTTCGGCTCAGGTCATGGGATCGAGCCCCGCATCAGGCTCCCTGCTCCACGGGAAGCCTGCTTCTCCCTCTCCCACACCCCCTGCTTGTGTTCCCTCTCTTGCTGTGTCTCTCTCTGTCAAATAAATAAATAAAATCTTCAAAGATTAAAAAAAAGAAAATTTTAGAAGTATAGTGAAATATGCCTTTTGTAATAACTTAGCTATATACCGGATTTTATTTTAGCTTCTTTTTCCTGAAAATACCTAAGTATGTACAACGCATTAAGCAAAACATGTTATTCTGTGTAGATTGTGTTTTGTTCTATTAAATCAGGAGAAATGTTGAGACTGTTTTGTTCTTTATCAAAAAGATGCTCCAGAAAATCGGCGAAGGGGGCCAGCATTTGCCTTATCAAAGCAGTACAGACTCTACTAAAAGTAAAAGAGCTGAATTATTTTTTCCTAAGACATCATAGATTCACTTTGAGTTTTTTTCACTACCACTTTGGAATTGTAGGGTTGTAAAATTCTGTATTCTTGCAAAATGACTGTTAAAAACCTATGTTTTTAAAAATTAGAATGAAATGTTAGGTTATGAAGACCGTAGTATAACTTATTCTCTGATCTCTGAAATTGAGTACCAATCATTTTGTAAAAGCAGCAGAAGTAGCCATTCATAGTATAGATAAATTAACTCAAATAAATGTATTTTCATTTCTTCCCATATTTTTTCAGGTGGATGACAATATTCCACTTAGGGTAATGCTGCTTCTTATGGATGAAGTATTCGACTTAAAAGAGAGAAATCAGTGGTTGCGAAGGAATATCAAAAACCTACTTCAACAGCTTATTAGAGCCACATATGGTGATACTATTAATAGGTACCAATTTTTTTTTTTTCATTCCTTAGAGCTGTTCTTACTTAGCTCTTAAACATGTACTTCTGGAAGTAGATTGTTCAACCTTTGTAGGAGAATTTTCTTCTCTGAGCCTTTTAAGATCATTAAAACAGTCTGTTGCTTTCACAGATAATTTACATACCGATTAAGTTACTTCATGAAAGGAATGCTTATTTTATACGCCTTTTAAAATTTTGACCCTACTAATTTAAATTTCTTTACTTTCAGAAAAATTGTTGACCATGTTGATTGGATGACCTCACCTGAGCAAGTAGCCGACTTAGTGAAACGTTTCAGGTATATCTTAAGACACAGTCACTTCATTCAGGTAGTACAGAGTTTAGCATTGTTATCACTAATTAACATTCACTGCTTTCCTTTTCTTCCTGACCATAAAGTTGGTTTTAATCATCACTGATGAGCAAGAAGAGTTGTAAGAATTATAAACATTTGTTCCGTGGACTTTTTGATCTTTGTTTCTTTAAAACCAGAGTAGAAAAGTATAAGAGAATAATCTTTAAGATGTTGGTTATATTTTATCACAGTAATGTGGCTTTAAAGTAATTGAAATCCTTGATTTTAAATGAAAATTTTAAAAAATATGTATGTCTCTGCCTATGGACTAATTATTAACTATTTGAACCCCTGAAAAGAATACAAATTAAGAGCAGTGATACTCCAGTTCATATGTTCATCCTACAAAAATATTCTGAACCCCTCCTCTGTGCCTAGTATTTTGCCAGTCACCAGGGACTGAGATAAAATGTAGCCCCTTCAAGGAAAGTACCACATAGTCAAGAAATAAACCTCTTTCCTAAAAGTGAAAGATAAGCAAGGCATAAATATTCATGGCATCATGTACTCTGAAGTAACAGAAGCAAGAAAGGAGCTATCAATATTGAACATTACTTGCTTGGCACTGTGCCAACTACTTTATGCGTACTTCTGATTTTACCCTATTTTATGAGATAGGGATTGGTCTCCATTTTGTTATGTGAAAAGTGAGGATTAGAGAAGTTGAGTGGCTTGTCCAAAAGCTCACATGCTGGAAAGCGGGGAACAGCAGTTTAATCTGAAGCTGGGTTTCTCCCCACTATACCATACTGTTGCCAAAAGTTAGAGCACCTGTCCGGGCATGTACATTCTGTTTCAGGGCCGGTGAATGATGTTTGGTTCACTGTGGAGCAGTGATTCTCATGTTGGAATCACTTGGAGAGCTTTAAAAAGTACTGATACTTGGATCCCATTTTTAGAGTCTGACTTAATCAGTAGAAGGCCTGAACATGAAGATTTTTTAAAGCTCACAGGTGTTTCTAATGTTCAGTCAAAGTTAAGAACAGCTGCTCTGGGGAGTCTCTCCCTCAGACCAAATTCACAGATGGAACCTTAGTTAGTGTGTTCCGTTCTTGCCTTTGGCCTGTGAATTGGAGAGTTGGAATCAAGCACGCTGAGCAAGTGAAGAAGAGGGTATATATATGTGAAAGGAATGTTGTAATCAGTCTAACTGTAAGGTGTGGATGCAGCATTAGTTTTGTATTGGCTTACTTATAAGGGACCTGAGGGAGATTAACTATAAGGTATCCAAATTCAAGATATTGTGGGGTTGTAGTTGGATCAGATGTTCAATCTCATTGAGATCAGAGGCCTACTTTGAGTTTAAATGACTGTGATGTAGTCACCTGTATATTCCATTTTGCTGTCTTTTTCACTTGTTAGTTTTTATAAGTTATTCCAGGGCAGAATTCATCTGTTACTTCTCTTATGTATATCCTTTCACACTTAAAATTGAACCCTGCTCTTAGTTACTATTTTTTGAATGTCATACCTCTATAAAATTTCAGAACTGTTTCCACTTTCTACTTACATTTGTGTTTTCTGTAGAAAATTGGGATAATTTTACTGATTTATATCATTAGAAAATGAAAATTTTTACAAAATGTATTTAATTTTCTTAAATAGAGATGCCTTTTGGCCAAATGGCATTTTAGCAGAGACTGTTCCATGCAGAGATAAAGCTATTCGAATGAGAACAAGAGTTGCAGGAAAAACTAAATTACTTTCAATTATGCCAGGTGAGTGAACAGATTTGGTAAAAATCTTACTAATATGTAGTTCTTCTGAATTTTTGGCACCGAGCATGCTGCCTATTGATTTTCGTAACTACCATTTAATGGCTTACCATGAATTAGGTAGGCACTGTTGCTGTGCATTTCTCATATATTCTTCGCTAACTCTCATGACAGTATTAAGAAGCTAGGCACTGTTAACATCGCAGCTTTATATGTGAGCAAATAGAAGCTCAAAGAGGTTAAGTAAGCCACTCCAGGTTTCAAGCTAGGAAGTGACTGTTGGGCTTCTGCTCCATGCTGAGCGACTTGAAAGCCACTGTTTTTGATCATGAGAAAAAAGTGGTGCTTTTAACCATGTCATTTGCTACCTTGAGCCATTTTGAGAATAAAGTTGATGACAAAATATGTGACAGATGAATAAAAGAACATTAAGTGTGAGGTTTTCAGGAAGTATATCTGTTCTACTTCAGAGAACATATTCTTTCAAAGAATCCCTTTATGTAGAAACATTATTAATCTCAATTAAAACATGATTCCGAAGAAAATATACTTAGTGGCATTCTTTTGGTCTAATTTGAATTACTTCTTTAGAACACTGCTGTCTTAGACTCACTTTGTCCCCCTTTTGACTTCTCTCAATAAGAGGGCCTCTATAATATGAAAAGCAATTTTGTGTGGCTGGGTGGTTGTTTGGTCCCTTCTTTAATTATGAATATCTTTGAAAATACTTAGATATCTATTCTCCACGTTTTGATAATGAATATAGAGTGGAAAAGGAGTATTTATGAAGTTCATTAACATCATGTAATATCTATTTCTTTTTCTGTAACTTTGTTTTCTTTAACTTAGAACTATATATAGTTCATTTTCATCATAGATTTTAAAATCTCTCTTCTGTCAGTTAAGTTGGAAATTTGCCTCATGGCTATTAATTCTGTCCTATTGTGTTTGGAGAAAAAAAGCAAATTACAGAAATAACATTTTAGAACAATAGATGACAATTTAGGATTAGATACTATTTAATATACTGTTAGCATAAACCAGATTGTGCTGTAGACTGATTTATATAGCCGAAAGAAACTAATGCATTTGTCCAGTAAGTATTTCTTGGGAGTGTTTCATGTGCCAGACACTTTCTTTGCACTAATCTTTGCCTTCTTGGAGGTTACACTCTATTAGGGAACCACAGACAGAAGGCAGACAAATAAATAAAGGCCAGTATGTTAGCTAGTAGTGCAGGAAGAGGGAAGTGCTGGGTGGGGGCAGCTGTGTGAGAAGAGGACACTTGGGTGAAGACTTGAAGGAAGTGAGGCTAAATATAAAGGTATGTGTTTATATACACATAATCCCTGTCTTGTTTTTATTGGTAAATTCATAAGCCGTTTGCTTTAAATTACCCTGTACTCCTAGGTAGAAACATACCTTCTGGAAGTTGCATGTTTTTTTTTTGAAAGCAGTTAAATAGTATTTACTGCTCTTGAGGCCCTGATTATAAATAATTAAGGGTAGTCATACATGTTCCCCTATTCAACTATCTGTAATAACTTCATGTTGCCTGGGAGTAAACTCCACACTTGGCTCACTCTGATAGCCATAGCACTTATTCCCATTCTTCTCTCCGCTTTCTTTTAAAAGAATCTTAAAATTTAGCCAAACTGTAGTGCCCCCATTTTTTGAACCTGCCTTGTTTTTCCCACTTAGCTCTCATTTGCTCGTTGTTCTCTCCCCCAAAGCTAATCCATCATCTGTTTGTGCCTGTCAGACTCCTGCTCGGGTAGCAAAGTCTCCTTCATTCATCACTTCCTTGAAGGGAACCTTTTTTGATTATATACCATGTGGAATTCTCCCCTCTGTAAACATCTTTATACTTGGGGTATAAAGTATACTTGCCAGCTTTTTGAGATCGTTAATCAGCTTTCATACACCATTCCCTTACAGTATTTCTCACTGTGCGTTAGACACAGTAAGACTATTTGTATAGTGTTTTAGCCTTTGCAGATCACTTTTCACATTGTTTCGTTAAAGCTCTCCAAATTCTTAGTTATAAGGATTTGGTTGTTATTATAAATCCCCATTTTACAGATAAGGAAACAAACTCAGGATGGGTAAATATCATATAGGTATTTAGGGACAGGATTGTAACTCTAATTTGGGGTTTCACAGTCTAGACCCTGCTTTTTTGTGTGTTTTATCATCCCCAGTATCTATTCTTACATAAGTGGATGGATGCATGAAGACATGTGTAAATTTTAATCTCAGTTAGAATATAGAATACATAGCTGAAACACATGAACTGAAGATCTCCTATTTATTACCCTGCTGTGTACTTCACATACTTTAAACTCAGAGGATAGTTTAGGCCTTGTGTTTCCTTTATATGAGTAATGAATGATGTTTTTTTGTCCACTCTTCATTTAGATGAACTGAAGCACATTATCGGGGCTGAAACAACACGGAAAGGTATTCTTCGTGTTTTTGAAATGTTTCAGCACAACCAGTTAAATAGGAGAATGGTTTATGTCTTCTTGGAAGGCTTTTTGGAAACCTTATTTCCACAGTATAAATTTCGTGAACTTTTCAACAAACTGCATTCACGATCAAAGCAGATACAGAAATATAAACAGAAACTTCAAACTACTCAAGCGCCTTCTTTACAGAAGAGGTGACACTCCAATCTCTGAAGCTGGTGTTCATTTTGTCCAGGACTAATAATATGGACAGATCTTCTGGGGCTTAACTCATATACTGTCATGTCGCACCAGTCTTTTAGTGTCTCAAAATAGATTATTAATACATCCATAAGACTGTGGTTCTTCTCATCCTCGTCCATAATCAAGCCACTACCAAGAGAGATTTCTGTGTCTCAAATGATTTGGTGCATACTTTTGCAACATTGAGAGAATACTGCCCCCTTCTCAAGCAAGAATGACATTGGTCTCTTCCATTTCAAACTAATCAGCATTCTCCAGCAATGACAAAGTGCCAGAATGTATACGTGAGAGCTGAGGAAAGCACAAAACAATGGTTCACAGATAAACTGGCTAATTTGTTTAACCGTGGGAGACTGAGCAATGTATGATTTGGAGGGATTTGTTTTTGCATAATAATTTTATAGATCTTTATCAGAATTTTGATATAATGTGGATTAGCCAGGTGAATGATCTTTGGAACATCTGCTTCAGGTCAGGGGAAAGTGACAGGATGCCCTTAAAGTATGAAGTAACCTTATACCCTAATTACAGTTTTGTGACATAAAATAAAACCAATCAAAAACAGAATTTGATTGGATTTGTTATTATTGGTATAAAACAAATTTTAATTGATCCTTACGTGCTTTGGGGCTCTGTTTTGCTCTTATGGTACTCAATCATAAGTTTTCTTTTGGTGTTCTGTGTGCAAAAAGAAGCATATAGTGGCGCTCTCAGTTAAGTTTCAAAATTATTACAGTTTTCTTTAAGAGATTACTGATTACACAATAGGGAGTATAATCTCGAAAGAACTGCCAAATACATTCTGTTATTTTAAAAACATGGAAATTAAAAAAAGAACAGCACCATTGAAAGTTACAATGTGATCATTTTAAATTGTGTGATCTAGACATACCTTAGGTGATTGCAAAAGTAGCAAATCAAAGGATTAAATGAGCTTTTAGTCATATGTAAACAGACAAATTCCTAATTCTATTACTGTGTATATATATATAAAAATAAATAATGAAAACAGAACTATAATATTTTTTAAAATATGCTTTTATTTATATTTTGCATAATGTAAAATTCTACTAAATAAAGCAAGTTGGCAAAACCCCTGGGTGTATACATTTAAGTCCCTGAAATAATTTTATACCAACAACAACAAATTACCTTTTCCAGTTCTGGAGCCTCTGCATTTCTTATAGTTTTCTCATTCTCCGTTTGTCCATCTTGGAAGTCTTCATATCCCTTGTATGCAGGATTTCTGCATAGTTTTAAATACTTACACTGACTAAGGGTTTGGATATGTCAGCATTTTTTGTTTTAAAAATATTTAACACTACAACCTTAAAATAGTGAAGCTACTTATCAGACCACTGAGCCAAGATCCTGGTATTAAAAGAACGTCTGGGTGCTTAAGATAAAGGGACAAAGTTTCGGTATCCCAGTTATTTGGGAGCTTTAAGATGGAAACAAGATGTTATTGTCTTGTTTTCACCGAGATTCTACTTACAAAGTGAAGCCTAATAACAGATTAAAGCCTTCCTTTAAAGCTTTATAGTAATAATAATCATCATATTTATTAATAATGCTGTTGTGCATACTTACAGTATGCATATATTCAGCATGTATTGCATGTCTAAAGAATTACATAAATGAAACCCCTTTCGTTGCAACTTGCAAATGAGAAAAGATCCTTATTGACTCTGGCGGAAGAAATAATACTTTTTCTTCCCAGTGTATTTCCCTGCCGTGGTCCCCCCCCGCCGCCCCCCATGCCCCAGGCTTTAAAGGTGAGGATTTGTGAAACATGTCTGTAGGAAGCATCAGCATGGCCATAAGTGCAATGATTCTCAAATATACCCTTGCCCATTTCAAGTATATTTTTGACATAAATAAGTCTAAGAGTAAACAAGAATTCATTTAAGAGCCTAGTGTGTACATATGAAAAGCATTTCCAGATAATGTGAGGAATGCTGGCCATCAACCAGGGAAAGAAAGAAAGGTCCTGCAAAATTGCAACTTTTCATAACAGAGCCCTGCAAGGTAACTGCAATCATACCAAAAACTATATGAGTAAATGGGTTTTTTAAATAATTTTTTTGTTTCAAGAGTTTATATTTCAAAAGCAGAAATGTCAAATGGTAGTTTATGTAAACGGTTGTGCGTCTTCTCTATGCACATCTATGTTTTACATCAGAGAGCTGTGGTCATGCTAAAATTAGAGATACTTTTTGAATGACTTGGTCAAGCTGTGTGTAAAATATTTAATTCATAAGTCAAGTACAGTGTACTATGTTTAATAAAGTTATTACATTTAATGCATTTATTGCATATATAAATATATACCTGAAGAGGCTTTAAGTCTTCTGATATTTGATTTTTTGAATGTGTTTTTAAGTCAGTGGTGCCTTTAGGCGAGAACCTTCAAAATTAATCATCCTCCTTTGGGTTTTCTGATTTTTTTAGGTAACAAACTATTTAGAAACCATCACTACTAACAGTTGATTCACCTAAAAATTGATTGTATGATTTAAATATAGCGCTTAGCTGGGCATTTCCTCTGATTGGGGTGTTCTGAATAGTTGCTGAAAAAATTGTGCCATTGACCAATGGATGCACTTGGTTAGCCTTAACTTTTTTTTTAAAAAAATTAAAAACTTTCTTGAATATTTCTGTTGGCTCATCTTAAGTTTGTGCTGCTCGTGTTTGGAAAGAATCAAACAGTTAAGTGCTACCAGAAAGTGTATCAATTTTTAAAAAATTAAGAACAATATAAATTTCACAATCTAAAATTTTAATTTTGTGCAATATTTTCATTTAATGCATGTGTATTTGAGTAATTGTAAAATAAATGAATTTTTAATGTTTTGAGATCTAGTTTAAACTGTCTTCTTAACCCAACAACTTACATTCCGTTGTTGCTGCATCCTTTTATTTAAGGACTTGTTTTAAAAGTCTTTTTTGTCACTCCTTGTAAAATTCTTTTGTTACTGGTAAATTTTGCTTATAGGAGCATGGCTCCTGTATTACAAGGGAAAAATATAAAGAGCACATTTTAGGATTATAGTTGTTAAAAGATAACTTGTGCATAACATTGTACAGTAAATGTCAACTGTGTGCCTAACTATTCTATCAATACTTTCCTTCTTTAACAAAGAAGAAACAACAATCAGAATGTCAGTTATTTTTATTGAACTAAAAAGAAGATTAAAATTTTTATTTGGTTTGCGTTATGTTCTGTCCATTAGAAAATACTAATAAAATATTAACAAACCTTTTTGTTGAATTTATTTAGTAGTGATGTATTCTTATTACTTTAAAAAGTGCTTGCTCAATGGTCTTATTTTTAGTATCTCTGTGTACTTTCCTTTCTTTTTATTTTAGAAATCAAGCAACTTAAGTTCCCTAGTGATAGAAGAGCTGTTGAGTGATTACTGATAACTTAGTGAATTTCATTTTTCCATTTATGGGGCAAGTAATTTACGACCACTATGTTCTAGAAACTTCATACTTAACCTATCATACAAAATTATAAAGTCATTTTCCCATAGGGAGAAAGAGCTGTACTAAGTAGTCCATTAACAGTTTTTATTTGATCTCATTTTTAATTCATAGTCTGCCTAATATTTTAGATGTTTCACTTCTAAAGGCAACACAATGTGGCTATGTCTGGTTGGTCATAATATTTTCAGTCTTGCATCTGTATCCATAGACTTCTCAGACATCAGCTGTGAGTACTTTTACCCTGCTATGGACAGGCATAGTATTTGTCAAAGTGCATCCTGTAAAATATTGGTCTCTTTAAGATGTTTCTGAGCAGTAATTTTATACTTCTATGTAACTTATGCAAATCTACGTACGCTTCCAAACCCTAAAATGTTCCTTTACAAGTCAAATGATACTATCAAAGTTTCTGAAAAGTTCTGGAATAAATAAGTCTATTTATTTTGTTTACCTAACTTTCCAAACCACAGAATTTTTTTGTCATCAACACCTGTTAATAGCTTGATAATGTTCCCAAGGAACATGATTTGAAAAATCTTACATGGGGTGAAAAAAAGGTGAAGCATCTTTTTTTTTTTTTTTTTAATTTTATTATGTTAGTCACCATACAATACATCATTAGTTTTTGATGTGGTGATCCATGATCCATTGTTTTTGTATAACACCCAGTGCTCCACACAGTACGTGCCCTCCTTTATACCCATCACTGGGCTAACCCATCCTCCCCCCTCCTAAAACCCACAGTTTGTTTCTCAGAGACCATAGTCTCTCATGGTTCATCCCTCCCTCCGATGTCCCCCCCTTCATTTTTCCCTTCCTTCTCCTAATGTTCTCCATACTATTCCTTATGTTCCACACATAGGTGAAACCATATGATAATTGACTTTCTCGGCTTGACTTATTTCACTTAGCATAATCTCCTCCAGTCCCATCCATGTTGATGTAAAAGTTGGGTATTCATCTTTTCTGATGGCTGAGTAATATTCCATTGTATATATGGACCACATCTTCTTTATCCATTCATTGTTGAAGGGCATCTCGGCTCTTTCCAGTTTGGCTATTGCGGACGTTGCTGCTATGAACATCGGGGTGCATATGGCCCTTCTTTTCACTACATCTGTGTCTTTGTCCAGTAGTGCAATTGCTGGGTCATAGGGTAGCTCTATTTTTAAATTTTTGAGGCACCTCCACACTGTTTTCCAAAGTGGCTGTACCAACTTGCATTCCCACCAACAGTGTAAGAGGGTTCCCCTTTCTCCACAACCTCTCCAACATTTGTTGTTTCTTTCCCTGTCCGTTTTTGCCATTCTAACTGGTGTAAGGTGGTATCTCAGTGTGGTTTTGATTTGGATTTCCCTGATGGCTAATGATGATGAACATTTTTTCATGTGTCTGTTAGCCATTTGTATGTCTTCTTCAGAGAAGTGTCTGTTCATCTCTTCTGCCCACTTTTTGACTTGATTATTTGTTTTTTGGGTGTTGAGTTTGAGAAGTTCTTTATAGATTTTGGATACCAGCCCTTTATCTGTAGTGTCATTTGCAAATATCTTCTCCCATTCTGTGGGTTGCCTCTTTGTTTTGTTGACTGTTTCCTTTGCTGTGCAGAAGCTTTTTATCTTGATGAAGTCCCAAAAGTTCATTTTTGCTTTTGTTTCACTAGCTTTTGGAGATGTATCTTGAAAGAAATTGCTGTGGCCGATGTCAAAGAGGTTACTGCCTATGTTCTCCTCTAGGATTTTGATGGATTCCTGTCTCACATTGAGGTCTTTCATCCACTTTGAGTTCATCTTTGTGAATGGTGTTAGAGAATGGTCGAGTTTCATTCTTCTGCATGTGGCTGTCCAATTTTCCCAGCACCATTTATTGAAGAGACTGTCTTTTTTTCCATTGCATGTTTTTCCCTGCTTTGTCAAAGATTATTTGACCATAGAGTTGAGGGTCCATATCTGGGTTCTCTCTTCTGTTCCATTGGTCTGTATGTCTGTTTTTGTGCCAGTACCATGCTGTCTTGGTGATCACTGCTTTGTAATATAGCTTGAAATCGGGCAACGTGATGCCCGATTGTTTTTCTTTTTCAACATCTCCTTGGCGATTCGGGGTCTTTTCTGATTCCATACAAATTTTAGGATTGTTTGTTCCAGCACTTTGAAAAATGTCATTGGAATTTTGATCGGGATGGCATTGAAGGTATAGATTGCTCTGGGTAGCATAGACATTTTAACAATGTTTATTCTTCCGATCCATGAGCATGGAATATTTTTCCATCTTTTTGTGTCTTCTTCAATTTCTTTCATGAGTGTTTTGTAGTTCCTAGAGTATAGATCCTTTACCTCTTTGGTTAGGTTTATTCCGAGGTATCTTATGGTTTTTGGTGCTATTGTAAATGGAATCGTTTCTTTAATTTCTCTTTCTACAGTTGCGTTGTTAGTGTATAAGAAAGCAACTGATTTCTGTGCATTGATTTTGTATCCTGCCACATTACTGAATTGCTGGATGAGTTCTAGTAATTTGGGGGTGGAGTCTTTTGGGTATTCCACATAAAGTATCATGTCGTCTGCGAAAAGAGAGAGTTTGACTTCTTCTTTGCCAATTTGAATACCTTTTATTTCTTTTTGTTGTCTGATTGCTTTTGCTAGGACTTCTAGTACTATGTTGAGTAATAGTGGTGAGAGTGGGTACCCTTGACGTGTTCCTGATCTTAAGGGAAAGGCTCTCAGCTTTTCCCCATTGAGGATGATATTTGCTGTGGGTTTTTCATAAATGGATTTTATGAGCTTGAGGAATGTTCCCTCTATCCCTATACTCTGGAGAGTTTTAATCAGGAAAGGATGTTGTATTTTGTCAAAAGCTTTTTCTGCATCAATTGAGAGGACCATATGGTTCTTCTCCCTCCTCTTAATAATGTGTTCTATCACATTGATTGATTTGCGAATGTTGAACCACCCTTGCATCCCGGGGATAAATCCCACTTGGTCGTGGGGGATCATCCTTTTAATGTATTGTTGGATCCTATTAGCTAGGATTTTGTTGAGGATTTTGGAATTCATATTCAACAGGGACATCAGTCTGAAATTCTCCTTTTTGATGGGGTCTTTGCCTGGTTTGGGGATTAAGGTAATGCTGGCCTCATAGAGTGAGTTTGGAAGTTTTCCTTCTGTTTCTATTTTTTGAAACAGCTTCAGTAGAATAGGTATTATTTCTTCTTTGAATGTTTGGTAGAGTTCCCCAGGGAATCCATCAGGCCCTGGACTCTTGTTTTTTGGGAGGTTTTTGATCACTGCTTCAATCTCGTTACTGGTTATTGGCCTATTCAGGTTGTCAATTTTTTCCTGTTTCAGTCTTGGCAGCTTATAAGTTTCCAGGAAGGCATCCATTTCATCCAGATTGCTCAGTTTATTGGCATATAGTTGTTGATAATAATTTCTAATAATTGTTTCTATTTCCTTGGTGTTAGTCGTGATCTCTCCCCTTTCATTCATAATTTTATTAATTTGGGTCCTTTCTTCATTTGGATAAGTCTGGCCAGTGGTTTATCAATCTTATTCTTTCAAAGAACCAACTTCTAGTTTCGTTGATCTGATCTACTGTGTTTCTGGTTTCTAATTCATTGATTTCTGCTCTAATTTTAATTATTTCTCTTCTAATGCGTGGCTTAGGCGTCGTTTGTTGCTTTTTCTCTAGTTCTTTAAGGTGTAGAGTTAGTTGGTGAATTTGGGATTTTTCTCTTTTTTTGAGTGAGGCTTGCATGGCTATGTATTTCCCCCTTAGGACCGCCTTTGCAGTATCCCATAGGTTTCGAACCGATGTGTTTTCATTCTCATTGATTTCCATGAATTGTTTAAGTTCTTCTTTGATTTCTTGGTTGACCCAAACATTCTTGAGCAGAGTGGTCTTTAGCTTCCAAGTGTTTGAATTTCTGCCAAATTTTTTCTTGTGATTGAGTTCCAGTTTTAGAGCATTGTGGTCTGAGAATATGCAGGGAATAATCTCAATCTTTTGGTATCAGTTGAGACCTGATTTGTGACCCAGTATATGGTCTATTCTGGAGAAAATTCCATGTGCGCTCGAGAAGAATGAGTATTCTATTGTTTTAGGGTGGAATGTTCTGTAAATATCTATGAGGTCCATCTGGTCCAATGTATCATTCAAAGCTTTTGTTTCCTTGTTGATTTTCTGCTTAGATGATCTGTCCATTGCTGAGAGTGGAGTATTGAGGTCTCCTACAATTAACGTATTGTTATCAATATGACTCTTTATTTTGGTTAACAGTTGGCTTATGTAGATGGCTGCTCCCATGTTGGGGGCATAGATATTTACAATTGTTAGATCGTCTTGTTGGATAGATCCTTTAAGAATGATATAGTGTCCTTCTGTGTCTCTAACTACAGTCTTTAGTTTAAAATCTAATTTGTCTGATAAGAGAATTGCTACCCCAGCTTTCTTTTGAGGTCCGCTGGCATGGAAGAGGGATCTCCATCCCTTCACTTTCAGTCTGGATGTCTCTTTAGGTTCAAAATGAGTCTCTTGTAGACAGCATATGGATGGGTCCTGTCTTTTTATCCAATCTGCAACCCTGTGCCGTTTTATGGGAGCGTTTAGGCCATTCACGTTGAGAGTGATTATTGTAAGATATGAATTAATTGTCATCATGTTGCCTGTGAAGATGTTGTTTTTATAGATTGTCCTTGTAAATTTCTGTTGTAGATCACTCTTGGGGTCGGTCTTTCTCCTTTCATAGAACTCCCCCTTAATATTTCTTGCAGGGCCAGCTTAGTGGTCACATATTCTTTCAACTTCTGCTGGTCGTAGAAGCTCTGCATCTCTCCATCCATTCTAAATGAAAGCCTTGCCAGATAAAGTATTCTTGGCTGCATGTTCTTCTCATTTAGTACCCTGAATATGTCTTGCCAGGCCTTTCTGGCTTGCCAGGTCTCTGTGGATAGGTCTGATGTTATTCTGATGTTCCTCCCTCTGTACGTAAGGAATCTTTTCCCCCTAACTGCCCTTAAGATGGTTTCCTTGGTTCTAAGATTTGCAAGTTTTACTATTACATGCCGGGGTGTTGGCCTGTTTTCCTTGATCTTAGGAGGGGTCCTCTCTGCCTCTAGGACTCGAATGTTTGTTTCATTCCCCAGATTAGGGAAGTTCTCAGCTACGATTTGCTCAAATACATCTTCTAGCCCCCTCTCTCTCTCCACTCCCTCCAGGATTCCAATTATTCTGACATTGGAACGCCTCATGGTGTCACTTATTTCTCCGATTCTATTTTCATGGATTCTGAGTTGTTTTTCCCTGGCCTCTTCTTTTCCCTTTTTATCTATTATACTGTCTTCCAAATCGCTTATTCTCTCTTCTGTCTCAGTTACCCTAGCTGTTAGATTATCTAGATTGGATTGGATCTCATTGATAGCATTTTTAAGTTCTGCCAATTCCCCTTTTATTTCTGCCCTTAGAGACTCTATGTTGCCATTAATTGATTTCTCCATTCTAGCCATTGTCTTCACAATTGCCAGCCTGAATTCCATCTCCGACATCTTGGT